TTTTGTATATTTACTTGAAAGAATCCAATGAGGGTTCATTGAAAGCGGTTGTTTGAGCACAGATACACATGCAGTTATAAATGGCTGATACAGTCAAAATGTCTTTACACTAATGTGGCTTATAGTGGGACTGAGAGTCTGTCTGAAATAAATGCTTTAGTTATGGGCTATCTTTTTTAGTTGAACTGTCTTAGAGCATGTGCAGTATGTAGTTCACTAAAATGCCTTCTTTGCTTGACATGAGACCTGATACTAGAACTATAGAATATCATTGTTAAGGCTGCATTTAAAGATCATCCAATGTCCACGAAGTTGTTGATTATTTGTACAGTTTAATCAAATTATTGTTTAGAATATAAAATAGATTCACTGTATAATAGTGAAAAATGACCATCACAACCCAGGATGATGCAAATCCTTTGACATTTAGAGGTATTTTGTACTTAAACGAGTGTGAAAACTGTGGTCAATTTATTTTCTGTTCATCAATTTATCAAGAACATTAAAATTTTTCTTAGCTTTCATGTCCATTTGAAAACAGCAACAGTTACAGATGTTAGAACATCTTGATGAATGCATTCACATATTCACATTATTTATCATCATCATCATCATCATCATCATCATCATAACATCCATTTGTTAAAGAAGACATGCAGTAATAAATAACGCATTCATCAGCTCAGTTAATGCCATCTTTGGTTACTGGTTCCATAACGTGTTAATTACAGCGGGACATTAACCGGCATAAGTGCCTGTTGTAAACAGTAGTTGTCTTCACATTCTGAATGGCTGTTCTAACTAGAAATATATGAGCATCATGAAAGCTGTTGTTTATCTTGGCCCGGAGAAAAACCAAGATGAGCTGCAGCGAGGGCAGAGGACAATAAATTACTTCCTCTGTTTAGGAAAGTAAAATCCCAAAATCCACTGGAGGAAGCATGAGAGATACCAACATGCTCATCGCTTCATTAGTTCTATAAGAAACACCGCACATGTTAAGACTATTAACAGAATCTGACGTCATTTTGTGGAATAATGACAAATGAATCTTTGATTGAAAAAAGGCATGTGAGTAACAATTTTTTTTACTTTTACAAAACAAACTGATGAAGAATGTATGAAAATATATGTGATCAAGGTAAAATTTCATAGAAGCATTTAGAAAAACTTGTGTATTATGTAACATCCAGCATTGTTTTGTTTACAAAACCATGGTGAGGGCCGCCCTTCCACCTACAACCAAACATTTCTGTTCTGATAATGAGGATCTCATCAAGCTCGTATCTGCACTTAATGTTTTAAGAGCATGAGAAAAATGTAAACCACAAGCCACAAGGGAATTTATCATGATCAGGTGTTATTGGTATTGTACAGCCCACAAGGAATTTCCAGACATTTCTCTTAAGTTTGGCCGTTGTAAATGTGTCACTATCTTCAATTCTGATGCTCAGATTTAAGACGAGGAGCAGTCATCACAAATCAGGAAAGGCAGTAGTTTTCACCTCAAATTTAACTTTCTTGCAAGTTTTCATCCTTGCACATCCCTCCATCCAACATGTGACAGCAAGTGTTTACACGTAGTTAATAAGAATCAAAATACAGCCTCACATAATTGAATAAATAAGGTAGCCTTTTCCATCACATAAAGCAAAAGTGACTAAGTACCTCAGTCAAGGACCAACAACTGTGCTGACCTTTAAGCATGTCCAGGTTCACATTGTGATGTCAAAAACACCTTAATCCAGCAGCTTTAAACTTACAGTTTCTGTAAATGATTAGCTTCTGGTCTGGAAGCAAAAGAACAAGGATAAGTAAAAAAGGAAAATAAGAGGTGTGTGGGCTCTTTCTAATAGGAGTTCAGAGATGGTCTTTTTTTTTTCCCCCGGAGAAAGGAAACAGACATGCATCACATTAACGAAGACATAATATAAAATTCACCCTGCAGTAAAGAGTTCTGTTACATCTGTTGCCCATGAGGGGTAAGTTTCCCGGCATCTTACAATGGGAAACAGTCATATTTCCCTACAAGTATAGTGACATGCATGAAATATTTTCCCATTGTTCCATGAAACGCTGTAAATGTCATCACCTCCCACAACACACGAGGGCATGAGTGGAGTTCAATGTGCCGATCTGACATTCTGTGTGTACTTTGTGTTCACTCGAGCTGAGGATTTCCCTTGTTTTTAGGAATGGAGAGAAAATATGTTTTAGCATGAATGAAGTCTGCGAGTATTTAAGACCCTCCACTCTCTCTCTCTTTATATAAACATTCTTATGGTTTTACAATAGCACACAAAAGGAGCTACTACGCTGCAGCTACTGACTAATTGCAAAAGTGTGGTTAGAGGTAATTCCATGGGAATGATGTTTTTCGAGAGTAAGATTAGTCATTATTTTCCACAGAACCACAAAGCATCAGCAAAAATGTTCCCTCAGAAGTAATAAAAAGCTCTTGTAGACAGGTTCTTACCTGAAAGTGAATCTTAATGTTTGTTGACATTTATGTCAAACCTGTTGACAAGTTTGCAGTTTGAATGATTGGTCTGTGCGTGTGGGTGTATGTGTGATACTGCATCACTCACAACTGATTTGGAGTTGGTTCACCTATTTCCAAATCCCAGAGCCCAGTGTAATTGGGTCCAAACATTTGAAGCTGATCTCAGATAAGCAAGAGTCTGCTCACAACTCTACACACATACACACACACACACACAGACATGGAAGGACACAAGTCGTGGCAAAAAGACATATGCCGCCTTATTTACCACCAACACACGCACTGAACATGGAGACTTGTTGGCTACATTACAACCTCCTTGTGTTTCATGTAGTGGCATCTATGTATTAGCAAAATATTTCAACCTTATAAAAATAAATTTAACTTAATTAATCTTAATTAATTTTTGTTGTCCTTATTCTGTAATAGAAAGTTTCATAACTCTCTGATAATGGAAATTGGCAACATGGGTGGAAAACTCTGAACTTGCCTGAACATTACATCCACTGTTGTTCCAAGGTTAAAGCTTAACATCCAGAGGAAGTGTAAACTCTCTGTAATGACTGTCATTATGGAACGTCCGGTGATTCATTCAGGAGCTCTTTGCTTCTAAATGCGCAACAGACACTGTTGCGAAATGACAGATGTTATCTTTCAAGAGTTATTTTGCTTCTCAGTGACAATGATATTGTCCTTGTTCTTTTTGCCTTTTTCTAAAGCCTGGCAAATATGCCATGAAAAACCACTGTATCTTCAATAAACACAAAAATAATATGACCAGACCTTAGCTAATAGTTCTCTTTTAACAATGGCTCAAAAGACGACGTGAAACATGCCGTTCATACTGACCAATTTAGTGGTTCCCTTTGGCTCTAGGGAATGTCTTAAGCTGTTTTCAGCAACAACAAAAAAAAGCTCTGAAAAACTTACTTTATGTCCATGTTGGAGCATTGAGCAGCTAAACCAGCAATATCCAGCTAAATATTTCCCTCAGAAGTTGGTGGAGACCAAAACAGAAAACAAATCAGAGAAGGGGAATTAATATTAGATTATTAGATTAATCACTTAGATTCATAAGATAGACAGTTGTTTTTGTTGTATCAGGTAATAATATGTCGTGTTCACAGCTTGTTGCGCTACCTCCCAGTGCTCCAAAGAACTGTTTTATGCAGGTAACTAAGACTGGACACTGCCATTAGCAGGAACGTCAGTTCTTTTAAGTAAACCAGTTTTTTGCAGCGTTTGCTTAAATGCTTTGTCTCTTTTATCTGTGATTGATCACATTCAGGCTTTCAGCTGGTGAGCAGGTTTGATGTATGCCAAGTGCCAGAATATGTATTGAATTCACACACATGGTTTTGGTGCCAAACATTTCATCAGATGTTGGGTAAGAATGGGAAAAAAAACTCTGTCCAACGCATAGGAGAGTACAATTAAAAATCTGAATTTGTTCTGTACAAACACCTGCCCTCCCAGCCTCAGCTGCAGTGTCACTTGAACAAACTCACCGCCGTCTGTGTTCCCACAGAAACTTGAAACCTTACTTATATATTTAGAGACAAACAGCCACTGTCAGCGTAAACTATTGCCAACCTTGACACCTGGGGGCCTTTGGTAATGGTCATGGTGGTCGAGGCTGATGCACGTTTTCTGTCACTGTTTGTTTCCACGCACTGCAGAATTATTTCAAATTTCAATATGCATACTTGCATAACAGAAACCAAACTGACACAGTATAGTTTTTCTTTGTATGCTTTTAAGTGATCAATGCAGTTTTTGATTAGCTTCTCTGTCGGCTTGAAGGAGTTAGCCTGCTGGAGGCTAAGCAGTAAAATGATACAGAAATAACTTGAGAAACATTTCAGAGAGAACAATAAATGTCAAATGAAGTCAAGACTTTTTGGTTTCTAGCTGCCAATCATCCAAGTAATATTCCAAAGGACTCTTGTGATTATTATCACTATTTCAGGAAATGCTCCAAGCTCTTTTTGTTTGTCTCTAATACGATCTGTTTGTCACTGCTGTGTCTGGGTCATTTGGATCCAAATTTGCCCTTTATTTTAAGACTTCTTGTGTAACCCCATGTACAGTTTTGACTTTTAAAAGCGTATTTTGTCAAAAGTAACGTCTCCCCAGTGGTTCCTTCTATCATAAGCCTACCCTAGGTTTTTTTTGGCTTCAAACTCACTCCCTTGAATCCAACCTTTATCCAGTTACTGTGTTTAAGACCCTACTCCTTCTGCTAAATAGATTAATTCTAGCCTCCTCTGCTAGCTACTGCAACCAGAAACATACGGGGAAGAAAATAAAAATTTGTTATTAAAAAATAAAGAAAGTGTTGAGATGATGAAGAAGCAAGGTAAGAGGTGTGTTTAGACAGAGAGTGATTAACTCAGGGGGAAAAATAACAAATGCTGCTCATGATCTCTCCTCCTCCTTCTCCCTTTTCATTCAATCCCTTGAGTAGAGGAGACACTCCCAAACTAACTGCCCATTGGCCTGTAGGCATTTGGGAGAGATTTTAACAATTGAGGAGGGAGGGGTAGAGCAAAAGTCACTGGTAGCGAAGAGGTCTTTGAATCATTGGGCCCGGGCTGTCAACAGGTGGCAGAGGGAGAGGCTTGGTGACTGACGTTCAGTCCTTCAGAGAAAAGAGAGACAGAAGGTAGAGGAGGAGAACGTTTGAGAAAATCCTCAAGGGTAAGGCAACTTTTTAGTTTTACCATTTTATACATTATACATACATTTAAACATTAAACTAAATTTTTTCCCCTCTATACAATATGTTTGTAGTATTGAATTTTTTAATGTGATATTGATAGTGCTCATCGTTATTCCAGTCGACTATATAGGTGTGTGACAGTTTTAGATGTTTCATTGCTGTATTTTGTTCAACATAAGAATTAAAGTCATTTACTCTCTTAAATTTCTGAACATATAATCGGCTGAATGAAAGTTGATTTATCATGATGACTATCAAGTTAAAAAAAAAACTCAAAGTTGTTAATTCTGCTGAGCTCAGGGAATGCTCATGTTTATTTCTACATCATCTCAAGGGGATCAGTTATGCTGTTTACTTCCCTCATTATCTCTATCTTTTCACACTACAAATTCCATCTCAGCAATTTGCCAGCTTTTCTTTCTCTCCCATCTCCCTTTTTTTTCTCTCCTGTCACCTAACTCCCTTACTCATCTTTCCTTAACTCTGTCCTTTTCTCCTCATCCCTCACCTCTCTGTCTGTATCCTCTCTAAGGCTCCTCTAAGACTTTAATGAAGCAGCGCACATCCAATTTCACTTTCACTCCTATTCCGCTGTCAGGTAGTCGAAAGTTGGACTTGACACCTGGAATTCATCAAGTGTCCCATGACTAAAGCTGTTCTTTTTATGTTAGTTTCAATTTTGCATGGTAGCACTTTGTCTGTGGGAAGCTTGCGGATATCTTGATATTGATATGTGATGGGGTTTGACACATTGAATGAAGTTATGTGAACGTTTGGTGCTCAGGGTGTAAACTTGTTAAGTTTACAAAAAACTTTTTTTTTTAATATTTGAAGTTAGATGCTCCATGAGAACATCTTGAAATTTGGATCAGTTATAAAAAAAAAATTATGTGGATATTTGGAAATGCTCAGACAATATTACATAAATCAACACGATTATTTCCCCATTGGTACAACTATGACAGCCTTTATTGCCTGCAAACGTGTAGCCTATTAGAGTTATTACTTATGACTCCAGTTAACATTCACACTGTATTGTAGATAATCCTAAATTGTCTGTCAACAAAGGTGCCAGCACAAATTTTCCTCTGTGATAATAACATAAATATTTGTATTAAATATGTGCTGGGGTGATAGATATTCTCACAGGGCTGTCAGTCCAGAAGATTTAGCTTTAATGCTACTGTGCTGGCTCGGGGAATACACAGAAGCCCTCACAAAATGAGCTACAGATGTGGGCCCTCAGCCATGCAAAATGATAGAGAGAGAAAGAGAGGGAGGGAGAGAGAGAGAGAGAGAGAGACAGAGAGAGAGAGAGAGAGAGGACCCACAACCCTGAGTGGGTGGTTTATAAAAAGTATTCAGATTGCATACATATGTTTTTTATGGTGTTTTTTTCATTTACCTTCACTGATTGAAAATGACCCCAGGGAACAAGAAAGCAACTGAAAACACATTTTTATCATTTCAAAAATTAATCTCTATCTAGAATTTTGGCTGTTTTTATTAATGCCCGGGTTGCATTATTTTTCTTTTTTTTTTGGTAGGTCAGGTTTTCATTTGGCAACCTCATTGAAACAGTCGAAAAGTGTCTCTATGGTTCTTATGAAGCGAAGTCCTTATCAAGGTCTCGTTGTGGTCTGCATGGCAGCAGGAGGCAGACAGAATCATGAAGATATAAGCTCTGCTCTCAGACGATAATTGCTTTCAGCTTCGTTTTATTCATTTCAGTTTCCCTGTTCTGTCTGCAAGCTGCTGCGTGGGGAAGGAAAAGAGGAAAGGAAAAGAATGCCCGCAAACACAGCAAGTTTGCAACCGCACATAAAGGCACGACCTTGCCGCTCCTCTTTTTCAACCCTCTCTTATTCTCATCCTCAAGCTTGTTGGTTTGGTCCTATGAGGTTTGTCCAGAGTTAAAACCTGGCGAAACACTCTGCTTTTTGTCTGAGGCTTAATGGCTCCCGAGAGAGAATAGGGCAAATGTGCACTGACTTCTTCTTCTTCTACTGCCACTCTCTTTCTGAATCTGTATTCCCAGTACAAGTTATTTTCTACAGCTGTTTGTCTTGGTTCTCGTTATCTGTCCTGCCCTCCCTTTCTCTTGTTCTCTCAACCCAACGTTTGGTGCATTCACTGTTTCCAAAGCCCTGAGAGTATAAGGAGAGTTTTGGAAACACACACAAACACACAAGCATCCCTTACAACTTGTCAAGAAGCCTTTAGTGAAAGGTGTCTGTGGATCCAGACACTATTGTCTGTATGTGATTAAATTGCTGTTGTTACCTCCGGAGGCAAATCCCCCTCGTCTCTATCAGCTATAAATGACAAGTTTCACACACATACTGTACACACATGGGCCAAGTCCCACACACTTCTGTCTCCCTTATAAAAGAGTGAACACACATTACAGGTAGTCAACAAACATTTTACAGGCCCATTGACATAGCTCTGCTTTGACATAGAGAAGTTATTGTCAGAAAGGAATTTTTAACAGTGTTCAAGGACATGTTGAATTTTACTTGTGTAGGCTTGAAAGCCAGGTTGAAATGCTATCTGGAACGGCCATGTGCTGAGTAAGAGCATCCACTGGACTGCCAGTCTGTTTTTCTGCTTTATCCTGCAGTTCGATGCTTATTGACTTGGGATGACTAGTGGCAGCCAGCTGACTTTACATTATGAATGAGTTGGACACTGATGCCAGGGTTCAATATCTTTATGTCACTGGTCCACTGGATCTATACATCCATCTTCCATATATCTATCCGCCCATCGATCCACTCATAGATCCATCAATCATCCACTGATCCATCCATTTATAACTGATCCATCCATCCACCCATCCATCCATCATTTTCCCAGCATTTATTTATTCATTTATCTATCTATATTTTATCCACAAACATGGCCGCGGGAAGTAAGGGTGCACCCTCTAGTGGCGAGAGCATACTATTCTTTATAGTGTTGGCATGACCAGTTCTACTCTGCCTCAGAATGACTTCTTACGGTGACTAACCACTCTCACTCCTCACGCCTAAACCTAACCAATCCAACCAGCGAAGGCAACGATCATTGGCCAATCAGAGGCAGTGTAGGGCGGGTCATGTCAACTTCAAGGTAAGATTCATAAGTTTACAACCTGTTGCTGTAGCATTGATAGTGAATGATGGAAAAAGGCATAATGGAGGAAAAACGTTTTGCAGTTTTTTTTGGCAAACCACCAGCTAAAGAGAGCACAGGTGACGCCCAGCCTACGCAGGAGAGCAGCTCCACCAACACTTGTAATTTAGCATCAGCGCTAGCAACGCGACCACTGAGGAGCTTGTTGCTAACAGGTGTCAGGGTAGGACTGATTTGGCGTTATTTGAGGAGCCTTTCCAGCAACCAAACTTCAGTTTTTCGTACACAAGCAAGAGCTCTGTTTGCAGAAGCTGAAAAACTCAGTCATGTATTTGCCTGCCCATCTCTGTGGCCTTATCCGAGTGGACCTTCTCTGCCTTGCATCGCGTGAAAACATGGCTACGCAATACCATGACCCAGATGAGACAAACTCACTTCTCCCTGATGCATGTCCACATTGACATTTTGAACTCATTGGACATCCATGCCCTGATGAGAGACTCTATTTCCGTAACACATCAGCACAAGGCCACATTTGGATTATTATAACTACCTGAGCACCTGGCCTGCAGCTCAAGGTAAGTTATTTGGTTTGAGGTCCGAGCAGTTAAATATTCTGTCATCAATTACTTTTAACATCACACTGATACACCTTTGACAAAAATGTGCGTATTTGTTGTTACTGCTGCTGCTTTTTTGGTCTGTGTTGCAGTATTATTGTATGGGTTGGGGTAAAATGCTCCTTCCACTACAGCACCCCCAACTTAAAACATCTTCCCGCGGTCCTGTGCACACATGTATTCATCTGGTCATTACTCAATCTAACATCTATCTATCCATTCAGTCATCTATTCAGTCATCCATCCTTTCGTTGATTTATCATGGACACATAAGTCCATGAATTAATTTCCATCAATCCATTCCACCAATCCATTAATTAATTTATCCATTCATGTAGTTATTATACCATCCATCCATCCATCCATCCGACCATGCATCAATCTATCTGTCCATTTATCCACCCATACCGTGCAGTCAACAATCCATCAATTTGTCCATCACCCATCCACCCATCAGTCAGTACATCCTGGTGTTTATCTCTCCATCCATCTACTAATTTATCTATCCTTTTTTCCATCCAACCACTCCTCTACCTCAACTGTGACTGCACCACTTCCCCCTTTGTTTCCCATTTCCTCTCTCGATTAATTCTTCCATCTGTCTCTCTTTCCCACACCAGGACATTCTTAGCAATCAGTTGTGGCACTCCGCTATGCTTGGAAGGTCACAGTGCTATCTCTTCCAAGAGAAATAACAAGAGAGGCCTGAAAATGGCGAGCATCAAATAAAACCTTGACAGGGAGCTATAAACATGCTTGTTAAGCATCTGTGTGCGCCAGCACTCAGTGCCATTCCACATGGCTATAGTGTACTAATGTGGCTAACTGCTAGACTGTCACCGATTCACACACACTCTCTCCATCATTCCCTCTTTTACCTATTCACTCTCTGTCACTCACTCCATCTCTCTCACTCTCCGGTCTTTTCTTTCTATTTCCCTTACTTTCCATCTGCCTCTCTCCATCTCCCTCTCTTAATCATCTATGGTTTGCCCTCCCAAATCTTGGCCTTTGATAAAACACACACTAAATTCTAAGTTTTGGCCACCACACAGGGTCAAAAAAGCAGTTTCCCAGTGATGTCATAACTTGGATTTCTTGCACAGGCCTCCAACCTCAAGCTTTTGACTAGCAGCCATCAAACAGACAGCTAAAATAACCAAGCAAGGTCAAGCATATTGCATTTTGGACTAGTAAGAAACAGGTTATGGTAATTACATGTCTATTTGTCTCCCTTAAAAAGGACTGGAGTATTTTGAATCACAGAGCTACTTGAGTTACATCCTGTGCAAATCATCAGAAGTAGGATTCATAAGCCAACACTTATTTAACTGAAAACATATTGTGTCCAATTGAGTAAGTGATGTAGCTTTCCACCTGAGTTATTGAAAGTACATAAGACCTTTCCGTACCACTCAAAGGTCAAGTATTCTGTTATTTAGGATCCCCACTCAGGATCTCTGTTAATCTGGTATCATCATGGTGGCTGGAGGATTGGAAGGTTTTAGGTTCACTTGTTGACATTTTAATGTTTTGGCCGATGCTCTCCCTGTGTCCAGTGGGATTTTTAGGATCTGTTTCTCTCTCTGGACATTTTCTGCTTTTCCATCTGTTTGAGTCTTTGACACTCAATGAGCAAATGTTTTGATTACAGGGATTTCCAGTTGGTCTGCTGGCCCCCTCTTAAAGCTGCAACCACTTAACAAACATCAGAATAACTTAAGATTTAAAATGACCAAACTATAAATAATTCAACTTTTATAGATCCGATGTAAAGTCCAGCTAAAACAGTGAAATAAGTTTGAGGAAGAGAGTTCTGTCTTCTGTGGTTAGTATGTGCAGTAAGGGGTTTTGCAGTGTATGCATGTTCCATAGAATCATCCTGTGCCGTTTCAAACAAATCCAACAAATTTATTTAAACATGTAGGCTACTGTATATTGCTATGCAGTTTTCCAGTTGTCAAGCATCACAGTGGGTACCCCAACCCTTTATTACTGAGCTTTCAGTCACTCTATTAGAGGTTTTGTGTTTCCATAGACCACACAAGCTCAGCACAGTTAGATCAGAAGTTCCTGCTGCCGCTATTTAAACTTTTACACCAGAAAGTTAAATTCAGACCAAAGTCCCAAAAAAAGGCCTTCAGAAGGTTAAGATGGGCATGCTATTTTGAAAGCATGTAATTTCGGTTCCCTGGGGAAGCCGCTGCGAGGTTTTATGTTCACATGACATCACTGTCATTAGATACAATGACATCATCACTGAGGACAGGTTTCTGAAGCTCTGAAACGCCTGACTGAGCACAATTTATGGTTTAGAGCAAAAGGATCTCTGGCAAAGTGATGACTGCTCACTTTCTCCTGCCATACTGTGGAATGAGGGGCATAAGAAGCACACACACACTCGCACACACCACAGTGACATAAGGGTTCAGGTTTCCTGAAATTAAATATACACCAGCGTGCCCCAATGAATGTAATGTAACTTATGTACCATCCAGACTGTATTTCTGTCCTCAGTTCTCTATAAATCTCTGACTGGAAAGTACAAACGTGACCCTCTTTCAGCCAGAGACTGAAGTCCAGCCAGCCATGACGACAAACATCTACAGTTTCAGTAGTCTGTTACACTTAGTGCATGCAGAAGATACAATCTCCAAAAAAAAAAATGCATATACTTGCACTAAATAACAGATGGAATATATATTTCAGCTCCAAGTGTGGTCTCATGCCACTTGGTGTGAAAATCTTAGAAGTGAATTTGATGTGCAATTACAGTCACAAGTGAGGAGTTTAGTTTTGTTCTTATTGATGCTTTCTATTGTGTAAGGTAAAAACAACTTTACTTAAACAAATACCCCTACATTTTGGGAAACATGCTTGTGAGGTGAGCTGCACACTTGCCGTTACACTTGAACAATCTGCTCTTATCTTGTCTTCTAGCCATGACCACTAGACTCCTGTGGAGGGCCCTGTGCCTGCTGGCCCTGCTCTGCACCATCTCACACTTGAGCTCCGCCGACAACCACCCAGACCCCTCAGCCCCAGAGCAGGGAGTCACCTTCAGCCATGTCTATAAAATTGACATCCCAGGGAGCTCCACTTGTAAACTAGAACGCCTGCCAGCCCAGGATGAAGCAGGTCATTAAAATCTAAATAAAAAAAAAAAAAGATGCAACTAAGAATATTTATAGACACAAGCAGGAATATGAATATGTGTATGCAGCTGTAGTATATAGCTATAGTATTGCATGTTGACTTTTCCACTGGACATTAATGTTATACTTAAATCTGTGACCATTTTCAACCATTGCAGTATATTTGGCATCTAAAAAGTAGAATTTTGCCCTATTTTGTAGGTTTGCAGACAGAGACCACTACGAATGGAGAGAACGACATCATCTTCAAACACAACATCAGGCTACAGACGCCAAAGTGTGACTGTGAAGAGTCTGAAAGTTTCAAGTCCTTGATGTACAGAGTCAATGGGCTGGAAGAAGAAGTCAACTACTTAAAGACCCAGTGTACTCAGGGCTGTTGTGGAAGAGGTGGTGCTGCAGGTAAGCTGTGTCACAAACTAAATATTTAGGAGGCTGACCAAGGAAGTCAACTCTTGACCCAGAACTGATAGTGTGAACAAATGGGGAAAAAAAAAAAAATTTATTTTATGAGATATTTTCTATGAACGAGTGAAGAGGTTTGCAAGTAATGCCCTTAGAAACCACAATTCTGTCTTAAACCTATAAATTATCTATCAAGCATACAGTGTGACCTTTTCACCTTTTTTTCTTTCTCAAGGTGTGGACACAAGCTGTAGTGGCCATGGTACCTACCAACATGACACCTGCAGCTGCCTCTGCAACCCAGGATGGGAAGGCCCAGATTGCTCAGTGTCCTCCTGCCCGGACGAGTGCAATGACAACGGCCGATGTGTGGATGGGAAGTGTGTGTGCCATCAGGGCTACACAGGAGATGACTGTAGCCAGCTGATGTGTCCAGACAATTGCAACGACAAAGGACACTGCGTGAATGGAAAATGTGTGTGTTTCTCACACTTCACCGGCGAAGACTGCAGCGTCCAGAAGTGTCCTAATGACTGCATCGGTAACGGCCAGTGTGTTGACGGCCAGTGCATCTGTGAAGAAGGCTTTTATGGGGAGGACTGTTCATTAGGTAAGCTATTCAAATGCTGAGTAATACAAATTCTATGGAGTATTTTCATTTCATGCATAATAACTCAGTAATGGATGGATATATCCTTCCATTTAGCTCAAAGCCCTGGACACACCAGAAAATGGAACAGCATTTATGCGTCCTTGTGATATACTGTAGGTGGTACTAAAGGCTTGATGATTAGTGATGTTACATTCGCAAATGATCCATTTCTTTTCAACAGCTCTTTGGTACGAGCGAAGGGAACCAAGTCATACTTGAGAGCTGCTCTGTTTATCATTTAGCCCAAATTTCACTGCTTTCCCTAAATCCACTCCCCTTTATGCGAGCAGTGAGAACCAGCCAGTCACAAGAGGTGGATGTGCTTGGGGAAAAAAAACGATCCAAACTCCAGCAGCCGCACTTTGATGCACTTCAGCCATAAAAGCAATGAAAAAGCAGAGTGAAATATTTGCAAATCAAAAATATCATTGAAAGCAGGGTCACAATCTACACTGCCACTTAAAAACACAGCAATGGTGTAATTTCATCAGTCAGTCAGACAGTCAGGGACAGACATTTATAGAGCTGGCAAAATGGAGCCATAAGAGAACTATATTTCCCATCTCAAATTGTGATGTACAGAGTACTCGCATGGCTAGCAGGTGAACTACAGTAGCTGATGAGGTAATGCTCATACACTAGCAAGATGGGGAACACCCCACCATATTCATACATAATTATTTTAGCCTGGCAGTTGTCACTCTGGCTTTGCTGCTACTTCATGGCAGCAACTCAGGGCCAGCTAAAATGAGAAGCCCGCTACCAAAGTATCGTGTACCTTTTGTGAATCAAAAGGAGAGATAAATGATTCAGTAAGAGATTAGGTAGCATTGTCTTTTAGCAAATATTTTTTACCAAAATTAATCAGACACCTTTCTTATGTTTTTGGCTTTTAGTACCAACGTCTTTTCTAATATATAATATGTTACAATGACCAGCAGCAGAATCCTTGTTGCTGCTCGAACTATAAAAGTCCCTCAAAGAGAAGTCTTATCCACTAAATCTAATAAACTATTTGAAATAAATGGTCACTTCACTGATGTAAGATGTTATGGCAGTTTTCATGATGGCCATAGTGACCTACTTCTGTGGAATTCAAAGAATCTCTCTGACAGTTATTTCAGATATAGCAGCTGATGGGGGCCCTTTCAGTGCGCTGACCCCATGACCACTGGCAGCTTTGGCCTCTGGACGACTTCAGGTCACATAATACCACGGGAATATAAGAACACCCATTGGTCTTTTGGGGCTCCATCAAGTTTTGACCCCGCAGAAGAATCATCATCTTTCCTGCTAAATGCACTGCTTGCCAGACCACTATTACTGTACTGCCTCAGGAGCTGAGTACAAAATTGCATTTTATGGCAATTTAAGGCCAGGCGAGCAGAAAGGTGAGCAGCAGCTGCCAGGCATGGACAGTTTAATTCACTGAGTTCACACTTTCAGACTGTGACAGGTTCTAAAGAAATCCAGAATATTCAGTTGCAGGTAAATGTCAAAACTGCAGTAGGAGCTTTAAAATATTCTCTTTCATAAAACAACATATGTCTATATTTATATTTTCTTTAACCCAAAGGACAGAACACACCCTTTAAAGCAGATGATATCTAAGGTTTACTATGTGTGGTTCCAACAAAAGAAGATCCACAGCCAACTTCGGGTCCTGAACCAAAGTTTTAGAAACTAGAATAGAGCATAAATGGTATAGTCTTCACAGTAGCAGGTCAGTTATGTCAAACCCTTGATGGCGATTTAGTTTCTTCAAGCTGCGTTTTTGCTCTGCAGAGGCAGAATAGTTAGAGACAGATCTGCAGCTTTTCGTGTGTAGGTGCTGTTGAATGGAGTCCAACATCAACATTGGCACCGTGTCAGAGGAAAAAACAGGGAGGGAGGGAAAGTGGGAGGTAAGAAAGAAAAAATACATTGTGTTGATTTTAGGTGTTAGTAATAATAGTGGTAATAAGCAGCGGGAGAAGAGGAGCACAAAAGCAAAACAGTCGAGACGTTCTTTGTTTTTTGTGGCTACCTTCCATTTCAACACCTGGATGATGGATGTCAGTCTGCTCCCTGGGTGATGACGGCAACGTGACTCTCAAAGTATTCCTTTAGATAGACTGTACATCCATTACAGGGCAGTTGCATTCCAATGTGATTGATGTTAATATAGCTTCAATATTGTTTTTTTTTATCTCCACTATCAAAGGCAGATGTAATGTGGTTTAGAGAATCAGGGGTGCCATAACAAAGAAAATATGTTCTTAGCCTAAATTCTTGTCAATCCTACAGGGGAAAAGAGGAACATTTAGCAGCCACATCTAATGAGGTGATCTGGATATAATGAATTTAGTAACTTCTTCAGAGCTACATCAACACATCGCAGATGCTTTTTGTTTAACGCTCTTATCGAACTCTCTTTGGCGGTCTCAAAAATGTTTCCTTTGATTTATGGACGCATTTAAAGAGATTGTGTTCAACATAATGTACCCTTTGAATTTTTCAACTCAAAACCATATTTGGCCACTTTTTTCAAGTTCCATTTGAAAATATTCCCTTGAAAATATTTATAAACTGGGGGGGGGGGGGGGGGGGGGAGATAATGGGACACAGAGGAACAAAGAAAAAGAAGTTGATTTAATTCCCATTTCATTGGGCCAGAACATTGTTAACAGTGATACTTCCTTTGTGCTCATTCACTGCAGATTTACAGTCTTTTTATGTTGTTTCAGTCATATTTTCCTTCTTCAAATGGTATTTTACACATTTCCAATCAAAGAAGACACAAATCACTATTAGTCTCCACTTTTCCAATCTTAATATGTTAATTTATTCGCCCTTAGCTCTTCTGAAATATAATTCCAGGGTAAAGATTGTTGATAGTCGTGCCTGAAGTAGCAACAGGGATATTAAGTGATACTAGATGGAAAAGGACTGCTACATTTGAGGAAAAACATTAAACTTCCTGTCTTTGCCGTGTGGAACAGCGTCTTAACCTGATGTGAATTCCTTCCCCTCCAAAGTTATGGCGGACTCCTTCACCACCCGTTCCATATTTTTCCCTTATGCTTACATTTTCTGGGTACCATGCTTTACTTCTCTTAATTCATCACCATCTACCATTTATTTCAGTCTTTCGTACCCACAGAAAGTTCTTCTTGTTTGTGGAAAGCCTCACTCCCCAACACTGCTGACTTGCTGTCTTCTGTCTTTTGGCTGCTGTTTTGTTATTGTACTCCCCCGTAGTAGTAATATACCTTCTCACCCCCTTACCATATTTTTTCCATCATCTTCAGTGAAGCTCTTTGGCTTTTTGTAACCACTGAAAAACAATATTTTTCCCAATTGTTTCCAGCTCAGGTTTGTGAAGGGACCTCAATGTTCAAAATATGCATTGTGTTTGCCTGGTTCATGACTCCTCTCCAATGGTGTAAGAGGGACAGGCAGGTGAAAGACAAGGACAGCTTCAGCTTCCAGGCAGCCATTGGTTTCTGTCATAAGTTCACTCTAAACTTGAAACCTGCTAGAGTTATGTAATCCATCACAATGAACACCAAATCTGTTTTCATTGTTGGACCTTAAATAATTTAAAAACAGAGAGTCCTGAACTCCTGTGCAGTGAACTATTCATTTATCCATTCATTTTGCCTTGTGTATGACCCTTATGAAGTGTTTGGGCATAAACATAACAAATAGGACAAGACTTGCTTTTCATTTATTTAATTTATGTAATAGATAATCACAACTTTTGTCAGAATTTTGATTTTGAAATTCAGGAAACTAAAACATCATTTATTGAGATGTTACCTGCTGTATCTCAAGCAAGTTTCAACTCAGTGCAAGCTGATCTCCATTATTTTTATTTTTATTTTTTTTTACAATTGAGCCATGCCCACTACAAGTGAAGAGAAGAAGAAAGACAAAATACAAAAAAAAAAAAAAAAACAGTAAAGGATGCAATTAAAGAAATAAAATGTTATATTTATCTTCTACAACCTTGATTAAATATTCACTCTGTCTCTTTCTCTGCATCTACCCGTTGTCTCTCTCAGTCTTCGGCCCACAGGGTCTGCGGGTGGTTAAGGTGACTGACATCTCTCTCCTGGTGGAGTGGGAGTCCGTTCGTGGGGCAGAGCATTACATTCTGACATATCATCCCAAAGGCGATGAGAGTGCCCTGGAGCAGGTAGTTTTTTTCTTTTTTTGGTCATAGGATAGGTATGTCAAATAAAGGACGAAGCATGGAACCACATTTTTTAAACGTCTTTGTCTGTACCTGTCATACCCAAGGTTCGGATTCCCAACACAGAGAACTCCTACCTCATCACAGGACTGACTCCTGGGGTCACTTACATTGTCCAGGTGTATGCAGTCATCAAAGAAGTCCAAAGTGAAGCAGACAAGATTGAGGCTACCACAGGTGAGTACCAGTAACTGTGATCACAACTAAAAAACATAACTGACAGCATTAAACATTTGACTTAAGGAGCGTTTTTCATAGTGACATTCATTTGTGGTGAAGTGGAATAGGGCTGAGTGCAGCATGTCTCCTTTTAGTGTGTCTGTGTTTTTTAGAGCAAGGACAGATGTGACCTAGGTATGGCCTGCAGGTCTGGGGGATTTAGTTAGACTTTCTGTGGATTAAATGGTCACTGTTGAGGTCAAATGTAGGTACAAGCATGGAAAGGCTTAAATGTCAAGCTCTTAAATGTTTAGCGGAAGGAAGTGCTGCAGTTTAAGATACTAGATTATAAGGCAGAGGCTAGTGCAAGGCAAAAGGATGGACAAGTGTGAAGTCACAGATCACCAAGAAATTCAAATACTGAATTTGCATTTGAACAGCTACTTGCATGTCTACATGGATGGACAGTACATCCCCCTTTTGCTGAATTACTTGCAGTAACTTGTGTAAGGTGAGGAGAGTTTTTTCCTGTACCTTTTTAAAGATATGTCTTTTTACACAAATGAGATGCTAAAAGCAATGAACAAGCTGAAGGATGTCATTACTAAGTGTTTCATTAAGCACTGGTTTGTTAACCATTAAATTTAAAGGTAATTACGAGGAAATGAGTCCACGGATGTGTTTAATGGAAATCGAACTTGCTCACAGATGTGGCAGGACACAGATGTGAAGAGAAAGAGATTAATAGACAGAATTGGTGGGCGTGAGTGAGACAGACAGACAGAGCGAGAGTTTGACTCTAATGTGTGGTTAGCCTGGTTAGCCATGGAAAACCTCACACAGCATGGAATTCCCGTACGGGCATGGGAAAACAGACCATCATCTGGCGTATGGTTGTGTGAGGAGTACATAGCATGAGGCAGTTGTTTCACTGGTCACACAGTTTTCAACTTCAAACGATTCTTTACTTCAAAAGAGGGTTTAAAGAATATTTTTCTTGATCTCTTTGGAAAACACAATAGCTGACATTAAAAAAAAAAAAAAAAAAAAAAAAACTTTTCATTTGAACCTTTTGTTCTGTTCTTTTTTCACCATATGCTACAAATCCTGACATGCCTCCTCTTTGCTAATATTCAAAATGGTACCTGTCTGTCAAATTTATGTAATTGCATGAACAAAGTACATAAAAGCCTAAAATGTCTCTAATCTTTGCCAAATACCCCTGTTAGCATGCCCGAGCAGCCATAGGACTCAAAATGAGGAGATAGGGAGTCCAGAGTGATGTTTCAGCAAGAAACTTTTATTTTGTTTTTTTATTTCACATTGCACCGTGCACCATGTCGTCTGGAAATCACCTGCCAGCCCAACAGAATGCACAGACTGATTGCCTTTTATATAAGGATGTCTGTTCATCTGTTAGGCTGGCCTATACCATCACTGGGTAAATTAACACATACATTTCTAATCACAACACCGACATTCCTATTCACAATTAGAACCACACAACATATAAACTCAACTCATATCGCCCTCCCGGAACTTATTAATAAGAGTGCAAGCCCCCGGGGAAGTCTTTCACTCGCACACCCTGGGGAGGAGAAGACAGGCAGATGTAAGTTGAACATCAGATAGAATTTAACTATTCACTGTGTGGTGAACTTAGCATGCACTTCTTAAGTTCATGTAACAAATACTATTTATCAACTCACGTGGGTCATCCGCTCCCTTGCAGGGGAACGGTGAGGTGAACAGCCCTGTGTTCTTACAAACCCGTGACCCACGCAATTACAAATTTATATCACTAAATTCATACTAAAAATCACACCTGTGTTTTATGTACCCTGTTGCACTTAACATATGACAATATGTACAATTATCCATTTGATCACATATCAATAATAGTAATATTTACTATTGACAATGGTAATGGCACTCTGACATTATAACCCCTGTCTGACTATAAAGATATGTTAATGGTTATGTGTTTTATGACTTAATTTACACTTTGAATATACATACTGTTGACATATTTGACTTAAATGTAGTGTTGTGGGTCCAAATATTTAAAAAAAAACCCACAAATTTAAGTAAATTATTACCCTGCCAATGCAGTTACATTTCAACCTGAGATTAATTATTTTTCTAATCATGCAAGACTGGCAATCACTCAATGCTTGTATTATAATTTTATGATATACATGATCAGACTGAGAGTCATTCTCTGCTGGTGTTCATGTTTACAATTTAAAAAATGTGTTTACACCGTGCACTTTTCCTGACATTTTAGTGACAATGTCACCATGTGGTAGCATAATGAAAATTCCTGTTTGGCACCCGCCCTGGGAAGGTCACATTTCTGGGTGGTAGGGATTCAATGTCTTGCTCAAGGACATGTGGGAGCAGAGCAGGGCAGATGCTTGTGATTATTGTGGCTGTAATGCAGGCTTTCCCAGTTTGACGCTCATGTCTGCTCCACCTTGTTGTCCAACACTTGTATTCTTCCCAGATGTCTCAGCTATTGATGGTATCCGAGTTCTTGGCCAGACAGAAGTCTCTATTCAGGTGGAGTGGAAGAACCCACCGACTGAAGTAGATCACTTCAGGCTCACACACACTGACCCAGAAGGACAGGAGGAAGAGCTGAGCGTACAGAGGAGCCAGGAGGCACGCACCAAACACACTATTGTGGGTAGGTCTTGAACAAAATGAACACAATTTGCACATATGACATAAATATTCTTAAAATTCCCTGAAGATCATATTTTGTTGCTCAACTGTTTGTTACTACCCTGCCTGTCTGATACTTCATGGTAAGTATTCTATTGTGAAGCACTTTGTAACTTTTGTTTTGAAAACTACTAAATTGATGTCATTACTTACCCAAATACAGTAAATATACAATATCAGGCACACACATGCAATATGTGTGTGTAAATACCTAGATTACGTCACCTTGTCACAGTTCTGCATCTCAGGTCACCCCCCTCACTTCATTCCCTGTCATCCAGCTCCCAGTCCGTAATTTTCCATTCACCATGTTCTCCTGCGCCTCCCTGCATTAGCCACGCCCACCTCATCAAGCCAATTCCATTCACCTGGTCACACAGCTGCCCCTGATTACATTCACCCAGTATATGAACTCCAGCCTTCCAGTCATTCTTTGCCAGATTGTTCTTAGCTTTTCTCCATGCAAGACTCCCAAGCATTTCTTGGACTGATTCCCTGTTGCTGAACCTGTTTGTCCCCGACTTGACTTTCTCATCTGAACCCCGGTAATTACTTCACCCTTCTGTCCCTGACCTTGAAAACTGCTTTTGTGACTTTGGCCTTTGTTTGTATTATGGCCCTGTTCAGACCTGGTATTAATATGCGTCTTCAGTGATCCGATCACAAGACCAACCTCCGAATGTGGTCTGAGTGATCGGATTTCAAATGCGCCCTCACTGCGTCTTGGGTACGTTCACACCTGTACTTAGAGCTGACCACTTGTGAGCGGATCACCCTAGACTGAAGTTAATATCAGGTCTGAACAGTCTGAACACGTGGCCACATTCTTTTAGCAGTTTGAATGCAAATGCACCTTGGCCACCTTGAAGAAACCATCTACTCTACTGATTATGTATTTATATTATATAGATTATGTGTATATATACTATTTCAAATGGACAAGAGTTTGTTTCACTGTAAGACCTGTGTGTATCTTATTAATTCACTCAACCCTTCCCTGCCTCGCTCGCGCGCTCTCGCTCTTTCTCTCACTCACACACAAGTGAATTGACAACGGACCCTTCTGTTGATTGGCTAAAAACAATAACTCATACTTGTTTATTTGCATATAAAGCGGGAAAGTGAGATCCATCACAAGTGGTCAATTGATACGCATGTGGAGACACATATTATAGCCAGTTGTGAACAGACGTACTTAGGCCCTGTTCACTCCTGGTATTAACATCCATCTCGTTTGATCCCATCACCCAAGTGGTCAGCTCCAAGTACAGGTGTGAACAACCAAGACGCATTGAGGGCGCAATTGAGATCCGATCACTCGGACCACATCGGAGGTGGTGTGGGCCATGTGTGGCCACATGCTATTGAACGCAAATGCGTCCTGGCCACACAGAAGTACCACCCACTCTACTGACGTCCTCTGCCACGGTCTAATTAGTCCCGCCACAGCTTCATAATGAACGGAAAATGTTATTTCAAATGGGTAAAACTTTATTTCACTGTTAATGCTGTGCGTAGCGCATTAATTTGTTCAACCCCTCCGTGCCCCGCTCGCTCTCTTTCTCGCTCACACGTGCGCACGGTACAAAAGCACATTGGCAACAGACCCCTCTGTCAATTGGCTAAAAACAAGCACACTGGTTTATTTGCATATAAAGTAGGGAAGTGAGATCCTATCACAAGTGGTCAATAGAAACACATGTTGAGACACATTTTAAAGCCAGGTGTGAACAGATCACTGAAGATGCATGCTAATAACAGGGCTGAACAGCGGCTGTGATCCTGTGCTGGCTCATTCGGCCAGAGCGTCCAGGTCTTCCAGGAAGATTTGGATTTACCTGCCAGCTCCAGGTTCTGCCTTCGTAAAAATAAAGGTCACTACAAACTGCTTTTGTTGAACTGTGTGCTGCATTTGGGCCCTACACACGCCAGTTACACACCTAGAATATGTCAAATTATCAATATACAGTCTTATAGTATGAAATAAAATCATCATTCAAATACATAGCAGAATATTGCTTCATATAAAATATCATTTTGGCTTTTAAGTTTGTAAAATGTTACCCTTGAGATGAACCTTAAGTTTGGGAACCACTTGTGCGGGACATTACAATGGTACAGAGAGCAGTTTGTTACATGTTTCCCAGTTTAGAGTTGAATACATGTGTCTTTCTACAGGTCTGTATCCAGGAACAGAGTACCTGATCTCAGTGCAGGCCATCAAAGGAACAACTGAGGGGAAGGCGTCCTCTGTCACTGGTGCCACAGGTCAGTGTTGACACATCAGCATTCATGAGTTGTTTTAACTGAATGTGACTGATGTTATTATCAGTACGCACAGACTGGGCCCAGTTTTCCTGAAATGGACCACTGCCATGCAGAAATTGCATCGAGACTGCGTTTGTGCTACAACTGGCTGTGTCTCCATGTGGCTGGCACTGAAAATGAACACTTCAGATGATAGATCAGCCACTTGTGGAAGTGAAAGACATTAAAGAAACGACAGTATCCATATTCCACTTAGTTTGGATTTGGGTGCAGCATCAAAGACAGCTCTTAGCTCCTGTATCTGTAATTCACCAGTGGTCGGATTCTAATAGGAAAAACACATAATCTGTCACATGCAATACTGACTTGCCATACGATACAACCTGGTATTACCGTCCACACACAGCCAATGATAATAGCATAATGATTACAGCCAGCAAGAGGCACCATTACTGGTTTAAAGGGCTGGAATTTACAGTCTAATAATCTGGACAGTTTCTAATGGCTGTGGTGAGCATGGTCACTGAGGGGAAACGTGATATGGACGGTGTGACGACTACAAGATGCTCTGATGATCAGATCCCTGATGGTTCGGGTGAGAGGGTCCATGATTTAGAGTCCATCTGGTACAGAGTTCTACGTATCTGGTCTAACTGGGTTCTGGTCTGGTTTTAAAACGTGAGGAGGAATTCATTATACATTTTCTCTTTAACAGCTGGTATTTGCTTTAAAGTTATTATTTAAGTGATTGACAAATGGTCCACAACAGCACGCTGGACCTCCAGTTATTATTCTGCTCATTTGTGCTTTGTTTTCTGCTTTTCTCTCTCTCTCGTGCCCCTTCCTTTCCTTCCTGCTTCACCTTCGCTCTCAGCTCACTCAGTTCAAAAGCAGTCTCCAGGTTGATAGCTCTTCATTTTTAGACCCTGAGGCAGCCAATTTAATGGTTTTTAGTCATCAGTGTTAGCGAGGTATTTTCAAGACTCACCTCTCCTCTTTTGAAGTCAGTCAGGTACTCAAGGGCCCCTGTCATTGCTAATCTTTTTTCTTTTGTGAGTGTGCCACCTAATTGCAGGAGTGTGTGCATGTGAGTGTGTGAGAATGTGCTAATCTACAGCAGACAGACAGTGGCTTGTCTCTACTCCAGTAGCTACAATCCTTCATTTTAGGTGTAGCATGAAAGGGCTTAGAGGTGTTTGAGGAGAATAGTCCTCCGCTCTAGTTGCCAGCAAAGATGTGTTAGTTTCATGATGACTGACGTGATGCAACAGAGAGCAGAGTCCCCCTACTATCTCGTCCAACATGCTGCTTGCCTTGGGCCGGCGTAGTTTATACGTGGTGAAAGATAAAAGGAGCACAAGGAGGAAATATGGAAAACACAGCAACAACAATAAAGAAAAAAAGGTGACAGTAGGTGCTGTGATTACAGCAAGAAATGAGCAGGAATAATGACACAGCACAGGGTCAAATAAGGATACAATAAGAAAAAAAAAGATATTTATAGGGTAATCAAGAGCACGAATAAGGCAGGATGTTAGAATAATGGGTCACAAAGAGGTAATATCAGAGACGTTATGTAGCAGCACGTAATGCATTACTGCAGAGCTGTTGCTATATGAAACTGATCTTTGTTCCCAGGGGTAAAAGCTGACTTCTTCCATTATAGATGCTCCATTGTAGAAAGATTTCCCTACATTTCCTCTTCACTTTTACCATCTGTCTTCCATTCTTTTTTTTTCTCCATCTGAATTTCTTTCACAGTTCACTGTTGGCATATTTTTAATTATACTGTAGTTCTGTGCCTTTACCCTCTGATTTATGAAAGGTAAAGTATTTCTCAAAATCCCACTAATTTATTAATTAAATTCCTTTTCTTTCTTATCAATTGATAACACAACATTCAGGAAATTACTTTTTAACAAAACCCAAAAGATGAATGTACTATTTTTTTTTGACCTCCCACCCAAAAAATTATACTTAAACACAAAAATAGACTCACAAGAATTGATTTATCTTGTCTCAGCAAGATGACACAGGTGGCTCCAAGGCTGAAAACACTTGTTTTGAAAATACTTTGAATGGTGCTGGATATGAGCTCAATCTACGAACTGTATGATCTATGTAGTTATTGATCTTTATATTTTGACTGGATTTCCAAATGTGCATCCATTGCGGCTCCATGAATCATCTTCTGTGGTATGTTATGCTGGTCTTGCAGCATATACACGGTCAATATGTATTTGTAAATTAAATTTATTCAAGGACAGCTACAACAGCCAGAATCAAAGGAATCTGTATGAAGCAGACATTTCATAGTCATGAACCTGCCAAAAGATTATAAGGCGTACAAACACAACCTACCACGGCTGCTTCTGCTGGTTTAGATTCAATAAAGTCACCACCAAGGCCCATATAACCAAAAGCAGATGGGCTTGACTTAGGCAGAGAGAATAAATGTTGGGACTTTATATTATCTAGACAGACTATAGCACCTGATGTGGTCCAGTGGGAGTACCCTGTCTGCTCAGACTTGTACATCAGGAGTTTTTGAGCCAGCTCTGTAGAAGAAGATGCCAGAAAATTTAAAAGTGAAAATGTGAAAAGAGAAGGTTTAAAGAAGGGTCAAACTCAAACCCAAAGGGTTGTATGTGTAACTGCTCACTTTCTAGTCATTACAGGGCTCTTGTGAGAGACAGACATCTATTGGCCTAATCAAGTGTGTTTGAACAATGGGTGGATAATGACAGGATGGTTTATAATGGATAAAAAGGAGGTTTTATATAATCTAAATCATGTGCTGCTGTACCTCGAAGATGTGGACAAATAAACAAATGGTTTCTGTCATGAAGAATTACGAGCTCCTTACAGTACATATAGATTGTGGGGAAAACATAAAGCCTGTAGTAGCTAGGGGACTCCACCTCACAGCATGTTACTCATGACATACTGTAGTTTCTAAAAGAATGGCACCTTATTGACACATACTTTCTCTCGCCTCCATCCACACGTAAATGAATGGATGTGAAGCTGTGAGTCTGTAAATGATGAAAGACGGCCTGTTACTATGCGGATTGTGGTCGCTGCCTCTGCTGACACATGCCACACATAATGGATAAGCTTTTTTCCAAATGGCCGAAGCCACAGCTCGTGTTGTGTAGCCCGGTAGCCACTGTCGCTAAGCAGCTAGTGGGGTAGAACGTCCGGAGTAACGCGATCTATCACAGGCTGTAACTTCAGAGCAAATGCAGACTCCCTCAGAAAGTAGCAGTGCTTGGGGGGAAAAAAAGCTCTAATAATATATTGAAACTGTCAGGCAGCAAAGCTATACAGGCAATGAGAGCAAAAAGAACAGCACTTCCCTGTTCAGAGGATAACAATATAACGGCACAGAGGGAGAAGAAAACCTGTGCACAAAGCATAGCTGAATACAAGCTGTAGTCAGATGGTTGCAAACCAAGAACAATTCAAGATAATTTGTAGACTCTCCTTCAAACTGTCAAAGGCTTTCAACTTTCATGGTTTTTTTGGGCTGTTAGTTCAAAACCCTTACGCTTTATTTACTTGAGTCATCATTTTGGGTTACACATCACAACCAAAAGCTGTACAAAATAAAAGATGACAATACACAAGGTTCCTCTTCTATAAAGTCTTTACTAAAGGCTAAAAATGTTTTAGAATAAAAATGTATCAAGATATTTTCTCCAGAGGAAAGAATGGTCTGCTTCTGTTTTACATCCTCTCTCTCATCCTCAGTGCTGTCTTCAAGCACTCGTGTACTATATGCACTATTTCTAGGAAGTTTAGGGAAATGACAGCACTGTAGATGTTGTAGGCTATATGATGATGATTAGAAATACACTTTGAAGCCACTGTTAGTGCCACTGAAATAAGATTACTAACACTGTGTGTGACAGCTCCTTCCTAGTTGCTGCCAAATTACAAGTTGCACAATCAATCTGTCTGGTGAGCCGTGCTGCCCATTGGTCTGTTAAGTCATAATCACACAGTCCCATGGATGGATTACTGAACAAGCCAACCGGGCACTCACTGGTCCCCCTGACCCCTCAGGCCTTTTTTTTTTTTTTTTTTTTTTTTAAAATATCTCTGAAAGAATCACAAAACGACCACAAAGGATATCTTTCAATCAGGGCATCTCGCTTCTACGCAGTAGGGATTGAGACTGTGCAATTTTGATAAATTTCCAGTGTAGTATTCAAAGAAACTGGACCAAACATTTAGCAGCATGCAAACATCCTGTGCTATTGTGAATGTGTATTCTTATAAATGCATCTTTCTTTTTTTTTTTTTTAAATTTGTGTTTCTACATGAATGAGCCACTAAGTGAGCATGTTGAGCTTACTTGGCATTGCTCACGGTACTTAGACTACTGAATGACCTCTCATTCTTAGGCCTTGGAAGAAACACTCAATCCTAATAAAATGCTATTATAAATTTTTGCAGTGGTTTAGCTCATGACAGTGTCGAGCAGAGCAGCCACAAGGACAGAGGAGTGACGGGTGAAGAGAGGAGAGACAAAGAGGGGATATGGGGTTATACAGTTGCATAGTTCTTTTCTTCTCTTGGATGCATCATCAATCAGTTTTCATGATGCAGACTGCGCACTGACACAAGGCTGACCTCGGCTGCCACAGAGGAATAATCCTAAATGATGATTGCTTTTACATTTCCCCTCACTTCCTCTGTGTCTGTCTTATTTTGTCTCCCTCCCTCTCTTTGTTGCTCCCTGTCTTCACTTTCACTGAGATTCACTCCTCAGAGACTAACACCCATCCACACACATGCTCCGCCTGCGTCCACCATATGTCTCCTGTGATTCCTCAGGCCCGCTGACTTTACAGATGGTCTATGTTCTGCTCTGCTCCTGTGTCCTCTCTGCAGCGCCTCCTGTGGAGTTCAGTGGACAGGACAAGACCACGGGCTGGGTTGTGTGCTTGTGATGTTCTTTTGAAGAGCTTTACAGAGCTTTCTCTCTGAGCCAGAGTACAAATTCTTCTTTGGTTCATCTGTCATCTTTTAATGTGCGTTCAAAACAAAACCCTGGATAAACAAGCTTGCGTAAATTTAGAATTGGAAAAGTTTTGCGTGCCACATACCCTCTCTGTCAGCTAATTTGAAAGAGAAAAACAACGGTGACATTTCTTCAAAGAGCTCCATCATTCCTTCTTGCCAAACGCTTCTGCAGGCTACTGCTTACTCGCACCGACCACATGCTGCTGTTGCTGGTTCTGCTTTTTACTCATCTGCTTTTTCTACTCACATCAATTCAATGCAGTTGTGGCTGTTGACAGAGTCCAAACTTAAACTCACTCTATCCATACTGTACATTATACTACTGTCATACTATGTTAACACACTTTTGTTGAGACGGTCCTCCCAAGCAAAACAGGATCAGTGCTTTCAGTAAGCACCCCAACATTACAGGACAGCATTAGTCCTTAAGTCAAATATTTAAAATGACCTGTGGTTTTAAAGTACTAATAGTAGTAGTGTGAAAGTACTGGTTGGTGAAGGTGATCAGGGTTCACATTTTGTCTCCTAAGAATCCTTACAGTAGGTGCATTTCCATTAACTAATTCCAATAAACCTATCAAATGTCGCAAACATTTTCTTTATTTAAAATATTTCGAAAAATTTAAATTTTTCACATTCAGAAAACCAGTTCCAACCGAGAAGCAGACTGCTAGAAATCTGTCATGTTTAATTGCGATATCATGCGAGGGAAAAAAAAAACACTTTTACATAACATCACTCAATGGAAACGCAGACCATTTGCAATTGTATTTTGTCAATTTTTCTAAAAAAAAAAAAAAAGGCTTCAATTTTGCGCAAAACTGCAATGGAAACCTGGCTAGTGATCTTTCCTTACACTTAACCAGGTGGTAAGGGTTTCTTAAACTGTTATGTTTCTTGTACCCTGTACTCCAAAGTTTCTCTTATTATTTCTTATTTCCTCTCCTCCTCAGACATTGATGCACCAACAAACCTTGTCACCACCGAGGTAACGGAGGACACTGCAACAGTCTCATGGGATCGAGTCCAGGCAGAAATAGAGGGCTACATGCTGAGCTACACCTCTGCTGGGGGCTCCAGCTCAGAGATCCCTGTAGGCCGTGATAGCACCTCGTACAAGCTGGTTGGCTTGAGGCCTGGAGTTCTCCACACGGTCTACATCTGGGCCTTCAAGGGAGACAAAGTCGGCAGGAAGGGTTCAACAGAAGCTGAAACAGGTAAACTTGGAAATGGACCAGGGTTCATTACAGGAGCGATTGATTCGATCTTTAGTGTGTCTCCACACACAGAAGACTCTTACATGCATGTATATGGTAAGATGAGTAAGATTAAAAGGTAAGGTCGCAAAGGTAAGATAGAAAAGATAAAATACTAGCCCATCTTTTTGAACATGCTGGTGAACTTGCAATGAAAAAACAAACTTATTTATCCAATGTTTGTCTCCACAATGACCTGCGATGCTCAGACATCTCAAGTGTTCCCAGGCGGTGACGGGTCTTTTCTTTCATCTTTATAGCCTGTTAACAAAGGGATTTTGAGTTAAGTGTTTCTTTGTTAAGCTCCTTTGTGCAAGATGCTCTTGCCTCAAATATCCTCTTTGTACAATGCACGAATCATTTCCTTCTGATGTGTTGTGTGGTGGTTTTCTGCACGATTTTCTTGTCCTTTTTGTGGTGGCAAGGAGTAAAAGTCATGAATGTTGACATTTTACACTTAGCACACTAACCCCTCTTTACCTAACTGCCAAGAGGGAAACTTGAACTCCCACTGAAAAAGTCTATTTGACATAATTAGGCTGGACACCTCATTTAAAGGCAGTTTAGTTTAGCTTGAGGCTGAATGTCTGTAAGAAGTCCAAGAAGAGCCAGTCGTGCTTGGTAAACAAAGTCAGCTATGTTGTTTCTCCTGTGTTCTGCTATCTCTTAATCTGCCTGTTGTGAAGGTTAGCGGCTGGAACTGACTGCTTGCATTTATGTTTCTGAAGAAAGGCAGCAGAAGAACAGGTTTGAGCACTGACCAGTATTCATCCAAATAACTTTAAAATTTCGACTGAGCGCAGGGATCCAAAACTAAGTAAAGGAACATGTTGCACATTTTTACTGATGCATCTGTTAAATACCAACGGTATAAGTGCTTTCCATGGCCAGGAATAAAGTGTGTGTGTTTTTGTGTGTCTGTGCATGCGCCTTTCCTCTGTGCCAGTAAGGGCTTCCAATGTTTTTAGCCAAACGAGTACAAAAAAAAAAGTTTACTGCTTTGAGTAGCTGTGTTTGCTATTAATAGCTAATAACTTTTTCCATTTTTTATATTTTTATATACAATTCTTATTTATTTTTTTTTTTTTTTTTTTCTCATCCAGATTGTTTTTTCCCCCACTGCCTTTTCATGAGGAAAACAGACACGTCAGTTCCAATAGCCTCAGTCATACATCAAACAACAGGAGGCAAATATCTGAAGTGGCTTGAAACTCAATTTGCTAGCTGGTGATGTTAGCAGCGTTACATGTGTTTGTGCTCTGAGCAACATTGAATGAATGAGTAACTTCGGCAAATTCATTTTAATGAGGGAAGGGTGTGACTGAGGTGTTTTTTGTTGCAGAATATGTTTTGAAAGTTTTCACAGGCACTCATAATAATGTAGCTAGAGTCTTACAGCACAATATAAATGTACTAGTTGCCCCTCCTGTGAGCTCTCCAGAAGTAAATGGATGAGTGAAAAGCTTCTTTACGTGATTATATTCTGATAATTGCAAGGGTTGGTGGAAAAAGACTGAGATATCTGAAAATATTTGTGAGATATATCTGTCTCCTTTTTATAAGACAAAACATCAGTGGTTCAGATTTTTCTGAACATTAATATATTTCATAATCTGCTGTAGTTTGCATGTTTTTAAAATAACATAGCTCATAATATACTCATAGTACCCCTGCTTACATAGAGTAGCAATGTGGTATGACGTCAAACTTGGATTTGAAATGTCTTTTCATATTAGAATATTTCATATTGAAACTGTTTTTAAACTGACCTAAATTTCATTTTTAAAATAAACCACATGCACCAATTATGCGTAAATCAAAAGACCAAAAACCATTAAACCTCTCTACTCTAGCTTGGTCCAAGTTTGACATCTTCTAACCTCTTACACACTGACAGAATGTTATGTATAACAGGTAACTACACACTGCTCATCTGAATCAGTCTTCTGTAGCTCCTGTTATGTTTGCACTGGATGTAGTGATGTCTTTTAGTAGTCTGTACTAACCATAACTCCCCACGCAGAGCTGGATGGCCCTACTAACGTCTTGGCCCATGATGAGACAGAGTCCAGCTTCAGTGTGTCCTGGGATCACAGTCAGGCAGAAATCGATGGCTACATCCTAACCTACAGCTCTTCTGAGGGCTCAAGTGAGGAAATTCCAGTGGGATCTGACCGTACTTCTTACAATGTCACCGGCCTGAGGCCCGGGATCATCTACACTGTCTACATCTGGGCTGTCAAGGGGGGCAAGGCCAGCAGGAAGATCTCAACACAAGCTGAGACAGGTCTCAGATCTACGACTATCTGTTAAGATTCAAAGCACTTCATTATCTGACTGCCTAATGTCAAATTTGAAGACGACCACTTTTCCTGTGTTTAACATAATACCCCCATATATTTCTCTGTCAAAATCAAATGATACACAGATGGGTGACAAATTAAGGGAAACAACATACAGTGTCTAAGTAAGGTGTTGCCACCAGAACAACTTCAGTACTCCTCGGTAAATACTCCACAAGTCTCTGCAACTCTACTGGAGGAACACCATCCTCCTAAAGAGGAGAGCACTCTGTAAAAAGTCAGTTAAAAATCTCCCATTGGTGCACATTTAATATTTGATGTTTGGTGGTGGCAAAGGCCACAATAATGGCTTGCATAATTTGATCCATTGTGCCCATCTACGTTTCACCACTCATTTATTCAGGTTTTTCAGTAGATTTGTCACCCATCTATATAATGTAGTTTGCATCAGTAGTGTATTAATACCCTCTACTAACATCTTCCTCTAGAACTGGATGCTCCTGCTAACCTCTTAGCCCGAGATGAAACAGAGTCCAGCTTCAGCGTCTCATGGGATCGGGTCCAGGCAGACATTGATGGCTACATCCTAACCTACAGCTCTTCTGAGGGCTCTAGTGGGGAAATCCCCCTGGGGCCTGACAGCACCTCTTACAGTCTGACTAGCCTGAGGCCAGGAGTCCTCTACACTGTGTACATCTGGGCCATCAAGGGGAACAAAGCCAGCAGGAAGATCTCAACACAAGCTGAGACAGGTGTCAAACATGAATTTTTATTCAACCAAATTATCTGATCATTACATCCACGTTTAAACCTTTAAACCTTCAAGTACCCTGAAATTACAGTTGTTTAGACAAAAGGCAACTCCCTGGTAAACCCTAAAAGAAAAAAATATTTCTCACATGGGAGACTAATCAGAATCTGCTTGTTTGCTTAAAGCAGTTTTCCAGTGCATACTTCCCTCAGTTCATCCATCTTCTTGCCAACTGCTTACTCTCGGGTCACAAGGAGCAAAGCAGCCCAGAAATCCTTTTCCCCAATAACTTACTTCAGCTCTTCCTGTGCAGTCCCATGCCAGCTCAGAGATATAATCCCTCCAGCATGTCCTGGGACTTCCCTGCAGTCTCCTGTGGAGAATAAGGAGGCTCTTGGGGACGTTCTTTCCAAATCACTAAAACACCTCCATTGGCTTCTCTGGATGACCAGCTGCTCCATACCTACTGTAGTTCTGCTCAATTAACAGTGTCATGCAGACTGAGTTCAACCAACATATCCTGGAACCTCGCCTCGGACTCTTGTAGTCAACAGTCTGATAAATTCAGGTACTACACGAGGTTTGTGACACCAAGTGAAGGTTGAATTGAAGACTGACTCAGGAAACCCTGAGCTTTCCCTTTACAAGCATGACCTAACATATCTGCATTACTACAGTCATTTCCCCTAATGTTTTCAGTCTCCTTTATTTCTTGCTCTAACTTGTGTGTAAAATCCTGAATCTGGATCCACACCTTATGGTTGCTGCTACCTGCTCATCTGAATTTGGGAAGATAACTGTTGCAGAAAAGGATGATGGAAGACCTGGAAGGACTCATTCTTAACTTTGACAGCCATCTTGAATGCTGGTCTCCACCGGTAGTTTCTTGGGTTCCCACAATCACAACCCCTCTTCACCTCAAGCCACAGCCCCATGTAGCTGCTTGTATAACAGAGTTGTGGCTTGAAATTATTCCAGACAGAGATACCACACACTATCATCAAGATCAGAAGACATGGATATTTTGAGCAATCTGAATTCTCCCTGCAACATGCAGATACACCAGCAGAATCTCCAAATGTGAAGCAGCCGATGTTTGTGAGCACCTCATGAATATGATAAGAGTCCAGAGTCAATACATTTGATTCCAAAGCAAATGCTCTGTCCTGAGGTGAGCCCAACAATAGTCAGTACCTCTCAAGCATAAGCTCAGGCTCTTTCTCTTCTGCAGAGTGGAGAAGATCCATGTTCAAAGAGTCACTTTTTTTTATTGGTGTAATCCATATCATCAAAGTATGCTCTTTGCCTAACAAGTATTGCCCCCAACTCTCAGCATTTCTGTCTGAGCTACTTGGTTCGCCCAGCCACAGGCCTAGTTCTAGGACTGGGCTCCCATGCTCCCAGCTGCCCCAGTTCTTGCTTTTCATGTTGAAAGATGTTTATCACAATTTTTCTTCATTCACTCAGTCATGTTACTAATATTTTGTCCCCTTGGAATTATAAGGTTCTGACATTTTTTGCAGAATTGAGTTATTCACACATTTTTATTCTGTGATAACCTATTGACATTATGTGATGTTTTTGTTTAAGTTGTATGGATTTTGGACCCCTTATCTAGAGGGAAAAAAAATTATAAATTCTGCTCTATGGAATGCAAAAACGTTGAAGCTCACAATCTCAAAACTGTTCAGAGCACAGATAGAACCTTATAATCCCAAAAGGGACGATTTGTAGAAATTGCACACTGATTTGTTTCTTTTCCCCTTTTTAGAGAGAAATGAAAACAGCACACCAGTTTGCAATATTAGTTTATTAACTACCTCTACTAACATCTTCCTCTAGAACTGGATGCTCCTGCTAACCTCTTAGCCCGAGATGAAACAGAGTCCAGCTTCAGTGTCTCATGGGATCGGGTCCAGGCAGACATTGATGGCTACATCCTAACCTACAGCTCTTCTGAGGGCTCTAGTGGGGAAATCCCCCTGGGGCCTGACAGCACCTCTTACAGTCTGACTAGCCTGAGGCCAGGAGTCCTCTACACTGTGTACATCTGGGCCATCAAGGGGAACAAAGCCAGCAGGAAGATCTCAACACAAGCTGAGACAGGTGTCAAACATAATCTTTGTTAAACCAAATTATCTGATCATTACTTCCATGTTTAAACCTTTAAACCTTCAAGTACCCTGTAATTACAGTTGTTTAGACAAAACAAGGCAACTCCCTGGTAAACCCCAAAAGAAAAAAATGAGTTTCTCACATGGGAGCCTAATCTGAACCTGCCTGTTTGCTTAAACCAGTTTTCCAGTGCGTACTTCCCTCGGTTCATTCATCTTCTTGCCAACTGCTTACTCTCGGGTCACAAGGAGCAAAGCAGCCCAGAAATCCTTTTCCCCAATAACTTACTTCAGCTCTTCCTGTGCAGTCCCATGCCAGCTCAGAGATATAATCCCTCCAGCATGTCCTGGGACTTCCCTGCAGTCTCCTGTGGAGAATAAGGAGGCTCTTGGGGACGTTCTTTCCAAATCACTAAAACACCTCCATTGGCTTCTCTGGATGACCAGCTGCTCCATACCTACTGTAGTTCTGCTCAATTAACAGTGTCATGCAGACTGAGTTCAACCAACATATCCTGGAACCTCGCCTCGGACTCTTGTAGTCAACAGTCTGATAAATTCAGGTACTACATGAGGTTTGTGACACCAAATGAAGGTTGAATTGAAGACTGACTCAGGAAACCCTGAGCTTTCCCTTTACAAGCATGACCTAACATATCTGCATTACTACAGTCATTTCCCCTAATGTTTTCAGTCTCCTTTATTTCTTGCTCTAACTTGTGTGTAAAATCCTGAATCTGGATCCACACCTTATGGTTGCTGCTACCTGCTCATCTGAATTTGGGAAGATAACTGTTGCAGAAAAGGATGATGGAAGACCTGGAAGGACTCATTCTTAACTTTGACAGCCATCTTGAATGCTGGTCTCCTCTGGTAGTTTCTGGGGTTCCCACAATCACAACCACTCTTCACCTCAAGCCACAGCCCCATGTAGCTGCTTGTATAACAGAGTTGTGGCTTGAAATTATTCCAAACAAAAAAACCACACACTAACATCAAAAACAGAAGACATAGATATTATGAGCAATCTTAATTCTCCCTGCAACATGCAGACACACCAGCAGAATCTCCAAATGTGAAGCAGCCGATGTTTGTGAGCACCTCATGAATATGATAAGAGTCCAGAGTCAATACATTTGATTCCAAAGCAAATGCTCTGTCCTGAGGTGAGCCCAACAATATTTAGTTGGAGCAACTCGGTTCACCCAGCAGCAGGCCTGGTTCCTGGAATGGGCTCCCATGCTCCCAGATATCTCAGCTCTTGCTGTAACCGTGACTCTATACACAACTAGATGTTTCTACTTACTTTTTTGGCCCAAGAAAGGGAATCCATCCTCAGTGTGTCATGAGACCAAATCCAGTAAGAAATGAATGGCTACTGTCACAGATCTCATGAAAGCTGCCTACAGAGACCCCCTTTGGAGCGTGATGCTGCCTCAGTCCTCTTCTACATTTGATACTGATTGGTTTTATGTTGAAAGATGTTATCGTAATTCTTCTTCATTCATTCCGTCATGTTACTAATATTTGTAGAAAATGCGCACTGAATTGTTTCATTTCCCTTTTCAGAGAGAAATGAAAAAAGTGTCAGTTTGCATTAGTAGTTTATTAACTACCTCTACTAACATCTTCCTCTAGAACTGGATGCTCCTGCTAACCTCTTAGCCCGAGATGAAACAGAGTCCAGCTTCAGCGTCTCATGGGATCGGGTCCAGGCAGACATTGATGGCTACATCCTAACCTACAGCTCTTCTGAGGGCTCTAGTGGGGAAATCCCAGTTGGGTCTGACAGCACCTCTTACAGTCTGACTGGTCTGAGGCCTGCAGTTCTCTACAATGTCTACATCTGGGCTTTCAAGGGGAACAAAGCCAGCAGGAAGATCTCAACACAAGCAGAGACAGGTTAATACACTATGAACAGACAGGATTTCCAGTTGGTAACATTAAAGCTCTTTTTTTCCTCTTGAAATATGAAAACTGACCAATAGATGCCAAACTAGTTTTCTCTAATTAAGGGAGGCTTGATTCTGATGTTTATATGAGTCAACTATCAGACCTTCTGGTGTGTTAATGCTAAAATAAACCATTAATTTTACATCAACATGAGCTGTAACACATACAGAACTGTATCATATCCAAAAATCTTTTTTTTTTTTTTTGTTTTTTTTTTTTTTTTTTTTTTTTTTTTTTTAGGATTTTACTGTACTGTTTTAGCAAGGCTGGAAATTGGCAAAAGAAGACTTGATGACATGCTAAACAAAAGTAACAAAAAAGTCATGCAGCCTGCTTCTGGATTGTTTTTTTGTTGTTTTTTTTAATAGCTTTCTTTCTACAGTAGGCATCAAAAAGCTGTGCAAGGCCCATAAGCACCACAGCTGTGGCACTGATTTAAAAATGCTGTGATCTTCGCACAGAGCTGCCTTTCAATAACAAGTTCTGAATACAGATTCAAACGGCTTACTGCTCTATTGCACTTAAAAATAGAGACCTTCATCTGAGAATGGTGATAAGTCGCGGTCTGCTACATGTAGCCATAATTTGGGGGAATATTGGTTCTACAGAGGCAGAAACGGGTCACTATCTCAGAGCAGTATCTTGCAGATGCAGGAAAGTTTTTTTTCTTTTCACATGATGTGGCAAGAATAACAGTAACTACAGCTGATAAGAAATCTCATGATTGTTCAAATGCTGTTTTTCTGTGTCAATGAAAGTGAGTTCCCAGGGATGCTTGCATTGTGTTTGAGACTTGTTGAAGTTTTTAGTAGGTGTACAGCAACTGGAGCTTCTGGAATTTGTGTACTCTTCAAAACAGCCAGTACTGTCAAGAATAGTAATTCAATCAACTCATAGTAGTCTACCACATCTGAAAATCAAATGAGCTTGGTAATTGATTGATTGTCTTACTTTGCAAATCCTGATGCTTTTGATTTATGCACACAAAAGGGAAATCCATAGTTTCTTATATCATATGATGCCTGATTTATTAAACTACATTTTCTTTCAAAGGCCAAATTAGTTTAAACTACCAGGAATCGGCAAAACTCCTGCTGACAGAAAATGCTTACCATAGGCCAGGTCACTGGGTGAGCCTTGTACCTCAGTGTGGGGTAAAAATAGCAACAGCAGCACATGGTGAATGGGCTACAACAGGATGTCTTTGTGTGAGCCAGATGATCTGTAAAATCACCTGGGAGTGCTAAGTGAAAGCTGGAACTTTTTCAATTAGGCAGCAACTGTCTGAGTTTTGGATTATAAACTTGTCTCGTCGTAACTCATTAGAAACCATCACTGGCTACAAACTAACGCTGTGCTTGGTTCAAATAGGAATGCCATTGTGTCAGAAGAAATCACCAGGGATACATTAAAGTGTGTGTTATTACATTTGTGATTTTATTGGACCCAGTAACAAGCATCATTAATGTGTCAGTTGTGTCTGTGTCCCACAGACTTTTTGAGCAGCTTTGCTTTCCACTAATGGTATCACTAAATTTGTTACTATTCACACTATTTTCCCCAATAACAATTCAATTACCAGAAAAGCTGTTTAATTTTTTCAGTGATAGTAAAACTGACAACTGGAGAACTCCTTAATGAAAACAGAAGGTAGCATTTTTAGCAGAAGAGTGCTGAAAGTGTCTTTAGCCATAGGAGGTTAAGGATCCCACTGTTACAGCAGGTGTCTTTGGGTCAAGCAAATTATTTCAGCGTCTGTTTCAGTTCAAATCTGAAACAGACGCTGGGAGAGAGGATAACTGCCAGTTTATCTGTAAAGCCAAATTGTAACTCAGCAGGTGGATGCTAGCCATCTCTGGTGATGTGCTTCAGCTGGAGAGGCTGGAAAGTTATATTGTCAAATGCATTAATATTGCACTCCACATTTAGATTAATGAAGGGAATAAGAGGTGATGAATATTGCACTGCAAAGTTGTTGGTTTTTTTTGGGGGGGGAGGGGGGGGGGTTTGAGTGTGGCGAGAGAACACTTGATTCACAGGTATGTGCACCACACATACAGTAAAATGTAAAAATAACAAATTATTGTAAATGTGTATTCACTCAGTTTATGTTCACCAGTTTTAGTATAAACACCGCCAAAATCTTCTACTTACCCAACCCAGAGCTGATTTTATAATATGTATTAATGCACGAATGTTCTTGTGCTGCAATCCACTCTGATTCATGCTCTTGCCCACAGATATTGATGCCCCCAAGGACCTGAAGGCTACAGATGTTACACCGGAGTCTGCTTCTTTGACCTGGGTTCCTCCTCTGGCCGACATTGAGGGTTACATCCTCACCTACAGAGATGAGGATGGCAACATGGAGGTACTGAGCCATGAGGTTTAAACACACACGCACACATTTTCTCACCCAAACAGAAAACAAAACACACCAAAAGATATTCAGATATAAAGTTCGTCAGTAACATTAAACACGTAATTGCAGCTGTTACATTAAATTTGACTGACTGGTTTTGACAGTGTGGGCAGATGCAGAAAATATCCTGCACTGGGTTAAATCAGTTCTACTGTACAGTTGCTTCAAGAGTCCTGTGAATAACAAACTATACAGTACTGGGCTTTAAACCCTACTTTTACAAGCATGCAAATAAAGCTTTTACATTACTTTCTTCACCGTTTGAAAAATTCAGAGGCCAAAGATGCACGTTCACTTTAAGCTCTGTAGAACGCTGACCTCTTGTGGCTAGAAATAAAATTAATCAACTGGAAGAAATGTTAAGGACATGTGTGACGTGACTGATCTTTTACTTCATACTTTGGGGTTTTAGAGAAATTGAGGAGCCCATTTAATGTCTTTATTAAATTTGATCATATCAGGAGCATCAAACTACAACACATTATAACAGACCATTGCTTTACAGTACACTGAGTGCTCAGTAAGATTAATTTGTGTTGCGGTCAGACTGTTGAAAAGCAGCTGGGAGCCAGTGAGAGCAGTTTTGCTGTATCCAGTCTGGAGATGGGGAAGAGGTACATTGTCACCATCATCGCCTACAGGGGCAGCAGGAGGAGCAAGGTGGTGGAGACCATCTTTAAGACAGGTCTGTACACATTACTTCAGATATTACTGGCCTCTCTAAAACCATGCATAATGTGTATGATGCTCTTTCCATTGTCTTTTCTTTATTGTAACATGTGATTTTACATCTTGACTATTGGAAGTTCCTAATGTTCACATCAAATCCTCCTCCCTAGTTGGCCTCCTGTACCCCTTCCCCATGGACTGCGTTCAGATCATGAGGAATGGCAATAAGCAGAGCGGCATTTACATCGTTTATATCAACAATAACCAGTCCAAACCTATTGAGGTCTACTGCGACATGGACACTGATGGAGGCGGCTGGCTGGTACGGCTTATTGATAAACTGCACAGACCAAAATATGGACATACATACAGGACATCTTTTAACGAAGGTTTTATAATGATAAAATCTTCTTTTTTTTTTTTTTTTTAAATGATTACATGGGCTGAATTTATACAAGTAAATATTAAAGAACCATCCCACCAATTTTACTAATGAATTTCAGTTTACTTATCTTGAGAACTACTCAACCTGTGAAAACAGTTGTACAATATTTTCCGTGGCACTGGTGAGAACCATCAAAAGTCTGAAAAATAATCCTAATGATTTCCACATGCTGTTGAGTTGCATGGGAACATGAGGTGTGTTTGGAGCTTGACTGCAGAAGATCTTGGTCTCTGCTGATTCAATTTTGACTTTTTATTTATTTTTTTATTAACATCTGTCTTCTGAGTACCTACTTTGAGTTGTTGCTGCTACTGTCATTTTAGTGGAAGGAATGGTGACCAAAAACCCAAAGCAAATTGTGTGAAATGTTTGTGAAACAACTGTCACACTTCCTGCTGCTTTCAGATGCTCCAGCGTCGTACCACTGGCAAGCTGGACTTCATGAAACGCTGGAGACAGTACATAGCAGGTTTTGGCAACATGACAGACGAGTTCTGGATTGGTGAGCACACAAATGTTCTCAGGAGGCTTCTGCAGACACTGCAACATGCCTATATGAATAGTAATGGAGTATTTCCTCTCTCTTTCACACACTCTGTTTATCTGCTCCACCAGGTCTGGATAAGATATATGAGCTTACCAACACTCCTACTCAATATGAGTTGCGGTTTGACTTGGGCGTGGGCTCAGAGAGGGCATACGCTGTATATGACAACTTCAAGATTGCTCCAGTCAAGCAGAAGTTCAAACTCACTATTGGCAAATACAGTGGGACAGCAGGTGGGTCTTTTGATCTCCAAGTCTTTTCCAATTTACAGGTAGTATGAAAGACTGAGAGTGAACAGATAACATGTGCAGCTTTTAGGACTTATATTTTCTCCCTGACACTTTACTCAAATAGGAGTCATAGAGAAGAAGAGAGGGCAAAGGCAGCGATGAAACAGACAGGGGTGGGAATAAAGAAGTTTGAAGCACTAGGCATCCCACCCACACACCAACAGTAGGTGGGATATTTGATTCAGAAACTTATATTCAGTCAGTAATAGACAGTAGCTATATAGGGACGATGGTATCTGACGGATACACATGCACAGCAAGTGGGACACTGTCTACACATACCACAGTGTGCTGAAACAACATACGCTGTACCTCTGTTTTTCTCATTTTATTAGTCTTCCATCAGGGAGCTAATGGAAGCTAAAGGAGTGAGCAGTGAAATCTGAATTATGTATAGGAGCTTGGAACTGCATCAAGTCTGTTCTGTTGAGTTTTGGACATTTTAACTGTGCTAATTAATGTTGATTGTTGTTGATGATCCCAAGGTGATGCCATGACCTACCACCAGGGCCGACCCTGGACTACTGTGGATTCAGACAATGACATCGCCCTGGGTAACTGTGCCCTGACCCACCGTGGCGCCTGGTGGTACAAAAACTGTCACCTGGCCAACCTGAATGGAAAATGGGGAGACAGCAGACACAGTATGGTGAGTGAGCAGGGAGGCAGCTCTGCATTGCTAAACTGTAGTTTGTTGGTTCATGCATGCAAAATGTAATTTTCTGTCAAAGTGCTGTCCAGACAGCAAGAACAAAAAGTTTAAAGAAAAAGAAAACGGGCAGCTAGTAGAGCGGTATATCCACTGATTGCAGGGTTGGTGGTTTGATCCCTGGCTTTTCCCGCCCACATCTGTCCTTGAGCAAGACACTGAATATGCATTACAGTGCATTACATCACACTGACATCAGTACTCTGATAGCAGGTCTTGACGGTTTAACATCAAGGACAAGGTATAGAAATTAACTGTTTTCTGTTGTAGTGTGTCTTCAAACCAATAGGTGGCAGTGATGGTGTTATGTTGTAACACATACTATTATACTAACCACAGTTATCAGTCTTTGTATCTTGAAAATGAGGCTGTCAAGCATCATGCCCTCACACCTAATCCCATTAAATTATGTAATTCTCCAACGTTGTACCATTTAAACTGACTTAATTATAGCAAGATACACTGCAGACTTCTTGTCCAAACAATATTCATCTTTCATAGACATGATTAATAATGCAAGTGATTCCTAAAACTTTTACTCTGTTTGCCATTCTGAATCAGCCCAAAATGACTGTGGAAAATAAAAACAAAACAAATATCTGCATAAAAAGATATGCAATTAGTAGTTAGTTGGCTGCTCCTGTTAGGATTGACACCTTCTAAAATTATATACAACAAACACTGCAAGCCATCAAGATCTAGAAGATGTTTTGTTTTTGGAACCATTCTCAACATCTTTACAAAAAGACAACAAGGGTGCTGAGCAGGAGGCTGTTCCCTGGTCAGCAATCAAAGACAACTTCACCGCAGCCCACTTCTAGTTATTTTGTTTTGGATTGTTGAGGTGAAGCAGAAATGGCCTGAATCCATCAGCAGTGATAAGAAAACACATTTCTCACACCAGCTATAAACCATAAGTGTTTTTACCAGGCCAATGGGGTAACAACAATAGTTATTATGTCTAAGGGAGACTGATAGTAAAGGAAATGCCGGGGGATTTCTCTGCTCTTGTCGAGATTTCATCCATAATAGCGCCACTGCAGATGTCTCCTGCCATGTCTGTTGGCGAAATGCAATAACAGTCAAAACAAGTTTGTACTCACATGAAATGATGCCAGAGGCTGGTATTTATTAGTGTTTGTCATTCTGCTTGTCCGTCATGCCGCCTGCCTGTTCTGTGACTTCATATCTCTGCTTTCTGTTTCCCACTTTCCTCATAACGTGTCCTTCCAACAACCCCACCCCCCACCCCCGCTGCTCTCCCTTCCCTCTTTCCGATCTCGTTCTCTTTCAATCTGCTGTCCTGCTGCCAGGGAGTGAATTGGGAACCATGGAAGGGCCACCTGACGTCCCTCGACTTCACAGAGATGAAGATCCGACCTTTGGGAGCCCTGTCCAGCAGGAAGAGACGGTCGTTGTTGGCCAGAGAGAAGAACAGAAACATGATTCTTCAAAAGAAGTAAAAGAGCACCTCTTTCTAAAACCACAACATCCGTCTTCAGCCATGTTAACCTGCCATCACACTAGACTGGGATTTATCTCCTTATTAGTGTAGCTTGGATCACCTGTTTTGGTGCTCTGACCACACAGGAAGTCCCACTGGTCTACATGCCTCTGTGTGTCTCACACTTGGACAATATGTACTCTTTATTTGGGAGGTAGGCAAAGAGAGAAAAGCTCATATGCAATAGTAACTTATTTTCTGTTTATCTACAGTGAGAGTCATCAAAAATTCCTAGGTTTAGTGTGATTGTGGGAAAGCGGCAAATGCGAAACTGCCTTTGAGTTTTGTGTGAACTGAAGTTAAACATTAATGAGTTTAGTAGATCAGTTATAGTGTATTTGTAATTTTAAAAACTCCTGTTTCACTGATTCTGGTACAAACCCCAATTATAAATCAGGAAACAGCAGATTTAAGTAAAATTGGAAACCATGAAATTCAGTGTTTCTCCAATTACTGCATTAATTTTTACTTGTTTTTGTCAAAACCTCAGGGCAGCAGCCGGGGTTATTTGTATTATATTTGTTAATTTCATGTTGTATGAAGAATTTGAGTAGCAACTTTTCCTGTGTATAGTAGTACTGTCATAATAACATGAATGTTGGAAAAAAAAAAGTGGTCAAAGTGGTTTGTGTGTTTTGTTTTAGATCAGGTACCAGCAATTAGCGAGTTAGTGCCCTGAGTTTATTGATTATGAAGCTGGCTGGCTGTGACGCATTACACTGCCACTGTGCCTCCAAAGCTGTCACATCACATTAGTTTGTGTTGGACAAGCCAGGGAATAATAGTGGATGGCTGTCTGGAATGGCCATATTGCACCTGTTTTACATTCATATGCCTGGGACAGTGCATATCAATCATTGTGATGTGCCCATATCCAACGTCAATAACGATGAAGTTTGTTTGCCCCATCTTCAGGCACTTAATGACCAAAGTCTTGTTTTCAATCTGGAAAGCTGACAAAGATCATTAATACTGGTTTGACTCTGGCTTTATTACTTAATTACATTTTTTTTTTCTTTTTACACTTTATTCACAAACTGTTGGATTACATGACAAGGACGAAGTGCATCAATCAACCTGCTAATCTGCCAGAACTGATTCACAGTCCATGTCTCATAAATTTGCCTTGTCTACACTTTTTTTTTTTTTTTTAAGCCTTTGTGGGCCTTAAGGTTTTATTCCAGCTGATCCTCAAAAGCTTTTTCAAGGACAGTATCCTCAGTAAGGAATTAAATTTTTTTTTTTTTTTTTTTTTTTTTTTAAATATTGTCAAACTGACATAGCTGCTCATTAATATTCATGCAACACATTCACACAATGATTAAGTCTTTGTCACATGAAGACACCGTAATTTTCCTTAAGGAATAATTAATGAGGAAGTAGCTCTGTCTTTTTTGCTCCACATATTTTGAGGAGCTGGTGGTTGTACATAGATACACAACCACACTGAGTATCTGCAAATGTCAACCATAAGGTGGCGCTAGAGTTAACGTCAGAGGATCACCAATAATTAGGATTCATCCTCTGAGAACCATGGGTGTTGACAAATATAATGGCAATCTCTCGAATAGTTGTCCCAAGTATTTCAGTTTTTACCACAGTGGTGGACCGCCCCCCCCGAGAGCCGTCTGCCAACACTGATAAAGTACAAGATATCCAAACTATCAGTGGCTTTAGTTCAATGATCTACATCTAAAGGTCTCCTCACATTAATTTGACAAAATCTTCTAACCCAGGATGAACTTTCAAAAGCGTCAGTGTTCGGAAGAAGATGGAAGTTGTTCATTTTACAGTGTTGAGTTATGAAACTTGGATGACACCTTACAGTAAAACTGCTCATGCATATTGTCATAATATTAAGCCCTGAATTGTAAGGTTGATGAATACATGAGTACTGAAATGCTCCTCAGATGATTTTTTTTCTCTATTTAAAACAAAGTGTTTCTCACAGTACAAAACATTTATCAGACTAATGACTGTTTGTCATCTGGTCTCTTAACAGTTTCCCAATTCTGTATCTCGTAACAGCAACGGCTCACCGGCTGTCTGGGCAGGAACCCTTACACAGCTGCTAAAAGTGTACAGAAAGGATATAAACAGCACATTACACCATTTATACACATATAAGATACAATCTATTCAAACAAACGGCACCACTTTAGGAAAGTCCTTCCTACCCCATAGGCAAAATGAAGAAGTAGACTATTTTTGAGTGTTTGTTCATCCAAATCAAATAAGAGTGTGAGAAGCCAGCTGCCTAAAATTTGGCAGCAAATATTTCCAGCATAGCATTTCATTTCAACTTTGAAATGAAATGTCTCACAAAAGCTCATTGATGCGAAAGGCCTTTTCAGCCACAGTGATTGCAAATTACTTTAAGGAGATTGGTTCCTGCCATTGCTCTGCGAGGCAAGTGGTTTGCTTAGTGCCAGGATAAACAGAGAGAGGAGGAAGACGTTTGCCCTTTCTCTGCCTCTCTTTCTGCCTCTCTCCTCTGTGTGTACATATACAGTACACAGTACAGTATAAGCTTTCTGACATGCAGATACGTCTGCCTGTGTCACTCGGGTTGACGCTTTCAGTTTCACTTACAGGTCAGTGTGACGTATTTTTTCCATGACAGAACTTAGTAATGTGGCAACAAGGGAGTGTTTGTTTTAAGGGGTGGAGTGTGTGAGCAGTTCATGGAAAAATAGAAGTAGGCTAGTGATGAGAGAGAAGGGCAGACGAGAAGAGAGAGAGAGAGATTTGCAATGAACCTTTATTTATCGAAATATCAAACCGTAAATGAAAACAACACCCTAAGATCATGGTGGGAATCCCAGTATTACAGGATACATTATAGGCAAAGTACATGTTTAACAAAACACAGTTTCTTAACCAGGCATCCACGGATCCCCTGGTACTGCAGGGAGCCCGTGGAAGATTTTTTTTAAATGAAAATGTGTATGTATTGATTTTTTCTTCTTTCATTTTTGGCCTTTGTTTGGCAGGGACAGCAGATAGGGAACAACAGGAAATAGAGAGGCGGATGATATCCAACAAAGGTCCCCAGTAGGAATGAAAGCAGGAATGTTATTGTTATGTGGTTGGCTATGCGTGTTAACTATTCACCTGTCAATATTGATATTTGCATTGATAACGATTCTCCTGTTTGGCATTCTGGCAGTGCCATGGTTCTGTCACATCTCAATTTCAATCCACGGTTTTCATTGTGCCATAGAAGTATTTTATGTGCATCTTCAAACCACCTGTACCTCAGCAGCTACATTCTGTCGTGTTTTGTTCATGTTTGTGTAGGCTGCATATTTGTCAAGAACCACAGGTGACCTGCGTATACTGCAGACTTATTTAACAGGCTAAGTCATATGAATACAGCTGTTGCTAGGGATATTGGTCGATGTCAGCTGAGCCACAAGAGAATTTATCACACCTTGGCCAAGCACATCAGTGATAAAAAATGATTTGTCAGGGAGCTGGATACACCTCCTGATCAAAAACAGGATGCCTGACTTTTTCTTTTTATTTATTTATTTATTTATTTATTTATTTTTTTTCTCCATGTCACATGCAGTGGAAATTGTGTAAGATCATTCTCAAAGACACGTCCTCAGGCCTTAAAGAATGAAATAAACAAACATGTTGTTGACAGGCTTTAAGTTATGCCAGTACTGTGACAACACTGAACATCTCATGCAGGTTAAAAAATCATGATCCGTGAGACGGAACAAATTTCCCAAAGTACATGTCTGAGCGTTAATAATGTCAAAGATGAATTGCTCCTCAAGCCAAACTGATTACTTGCATCAAAGATTGCTCTATACGGCTATCAAAACGATGATGAAAATTACATGTTCAAGAAGATCACTAGAGGCAGAAGTACTTATCAATTGCATTGCCTTTGCAACCTTCAGATTTGTTTATTTACACATTTTTTTTTTACATTTATAAACCTTTCTCCACCCCTTTTATTCACTTATTTTCCATAGTTCATTGCTGTAAAAGTGGATGCTAGAGTAATAAAAAATCTTGACGTTAAGAACCATGCACAGCAGATATCATGTATGTGAATGCACCACAAACTTATTCAGCTCTTTGTTGGTTGGTTTTTTTTTTCTTTCACATTTCACAGTCAGTCACAGTCCCTGCAGTGTCAATAAGAACAACAATAAGAGTGTGTCAGCAATCTGAGAAAATGATCACAGGCTTTGTTCCGATTCAGGTTGTCCTAGCAGCCACGTTGAATGAAGAGGCCTGTGCAATATACAGCATGTTCACACGTACGTCAAAACTCTGTGAAGTTTAATCTAAATAGAAAGATGGGATCCCACAAAGATAGAAAAATATTTTATTTCTCTCCCTGTCATCTTCCACATTGTGCTCTCCTTTATCATTGTTTCTCTATATGTCAGGATAAATTATGCATGCAGAGCTACCAACAAAGCCCAGCCAGGCGCATAATTAAAAAAAAAAAAAAGAAAAAAAAAAAAGAATAACCTCAGCATTTTTCAACTGTGGAACAACAAAAACATGTCCTAAATATACAATGTCGTGCATAATTGGATGGGATCAAAAAAGTGATGCTATCGAATAGAAAGCTATCCAGGACGGCAGATTTGCTGTTCAGACAGCAGACAAATCCTCCCACGTCTGCTCCCTCTGATCACAGCAAACTGACAAAGGCAAAAAGAAAAAACGTATATATATTTTATATTCTCTACCTTTTGACTCCTGCAGCTGATTTGTAAAGTCTCTAGAAAAATAGAATGTGGTATGCTCAAAGTGAGGGAAGTCAAAACATATTGAAGCTCAACATCACAAATACTGCTTACAGGTGTTGAGAAGAAAAGCGTGAATGGTGTGAACATGTTAACCAAAAACAAAGTGAAATCATTAATGCAAACAATGCTTCAGCATAATGTAAATAACACCCACAATACTGTATGAGAGATGTGAAATGTGTGATAATAAGGATCAGTAACTCATGGCCAGCTGGTAACTGAATGCAACCCGGGAGGCAACTGAGATGGAATGAATTAAAAAATTATTAGCATTCATGTGTGAATTATTGAACGTATTTAGTAGAAACAGAAAACAGTAATTTTCCTGTCTGGCTGAAACGACGGCAGAATATTTAAAGTATTAGATTCTACTATACTGTGGAAGCCAAAACTCAACAATCAGGGTGTTATTTTCAACCATCCTACAGATCTTTAAAATCATTGATGCGTTTGGTTTTAGATCTTTCAGCATCAGACTCCCTGCTGTGACTTTCCAGTAGCAGCATCTCAGTCTGGAAAGTCAAATTAATCTTCTAAAACTCTTGCCAAAACTCACTTATCTGTGAATAGTTTTCGTAGTTTAAAGGAATAGTTTGATGTTCAAGGAAATATGCTAATGCACTGTCTTGCCGAGAATTAATTGAGAAGATTGATACCACGCTCATGTCGGTACTAGGGTGACCATATTTTAACACACTCAAACCCACATCCTTAAAGGGGTTATTTGTAAGTTTTCTTTCCCGCTGAACTTGGTTTCTTGTGGTTAATTGTGTTTCCTAGAAAAGAGGTTACTGTACGCACTCTGAGCAGCAGTATATCTTCAAAGCAGGTCGGAGGCTTTAATGAGTCGCTATCAGAAAGTGAGGAGACGGGCTGCGGCTAGCTGGTTAGTGTGCTAACTTCAGACTAGAAAATGTGATGGAGACAAGAGTTAACATTGGTGTTTCTTTTCACATCTGGATACAGCTCTTAGCGAGTAAAAGAATGGAGCTTGATGCTGAACTTGCAACATGTCTTCTAGTTTTGGGGGAATGGGGAAAAATGGGGAACAATTGTTTCAGCCCTTAGCACACCTACCAAGCGCACCTTGAACGCAGCATTTTCGTTGCCCAGATAACTTACGAAAGGAGGGGTAGCCTAAACCTCCTGTAGGTCTTTAGAAAAGACAGCATCACAGCTAACTGTTAGCATAGTGACAGGTTCTGTTAGAAAGAGCTGCTAGCATCATAGCCTATGACTCTCGCCTATAACTCATAGGATAGCAGCAGCCTTGACAATTACATATTGACTGATTGACACACATACAGACCAATCAGTGTTGAATTCAGAAGTATGGGTGCATTGCTTCTGTTTTGAATGGGACAGAACATGAGAAACATCTGTGTAGCACTGAAAAAAAGTATCATATTATAATTAGTATTTTAATTGTTGTGAAAACTGGGACATTTTAGTGTCTTAAAGATATTTTTCGGGACTCAGGACACTTGGGACACAACCCTGGACAAACCGGGATAATCCCAGACAAACCGGGACGTATGGTCACTACAGTATATATACTAGTTATAAAGCTGGAGCACAGCAGCCAATTAGCTTGGAAACAACTAGACTGTCTCTGTGTGTGTCTTACGACTCCAGCTACCAGGAATCAAAAAAATCACAAATTAACATGTTATACTGTTTAATCTGCACAAAAATGTAGCTACTAAGAAGTGTAAAAATCACATGGGCCAATGTGTCAGACGACTTCCTGAAGTCTAGTAACTGGTCCCACCCAAGTAATGGTAAAACACCCCTTGTAAAACCTTTCTGTTTTACAGAACAAAATACAACAAAATATAATTTAAGTTATTATTGGTTATTTTGTAACTATTGGACACAGACAGGCTGTTTCTCCTCATTTTCAGTCTTTTCCAGCGAAGCCTTTTGGCTGCTGGCTCTAGCTAGATATTTATCTTACAGATGTAAGAATGGTATCATTCCTCTCATCTTGTTTAAGATATTTCTCATAACGTCAAAATGTTCCTTATAACAGTAGCTAATGATTACAAGAAACTGGCTGTAAATCTTTCTGTGATAAACACAAACCACAATGACACGATAAGTTTATCTGTGATGTTGTTTCTTAGGAAACCTTTCAGTCTGTGCGGTAGCACTGATTAGTCATCGCATTGCTGCTGAAGTTTCAGTTTTTTCTTCTTTTTTTTTCGCAGGGTAAGCTTTCAAATTAAGCCCAACATGTACAGTTTCTCTCTGTGAACATGAAGCAGAAGAGACAAACCCCACTTCCCACATGGGAACGTATCTGTCTGAGCAGTAATGAAATGAGTGGGGCCTGTTTTCCCAGCAGCACTTGAGCAAGAAGATCAACTTAGTGCCAATGTAAACTAATGCATAAAGATGATGATACTGCTGAGACGCCTCTGCTTAATTGGGCTTTGAGATGTCATACACTTAAAAAATAAAATGAGCCTTCAGGCGCAATCCAGTCAAAGCCCAAATCATTTGATTATTTCAGGGTTTCTCCTCTTCTTGAATATTTTAAAAATATGTTAAGTTAAATTTGCTTTGAATACTCTTTAAATCTCTTCTTTCTTACTGCATAACTTTGAGGTATATTCACATGCATAATTGAAGAGTTTGACTTACAGATGGAATAAATTACCATTGTGTTTGTTTCTCAGCTGAATGTAATTATAATGCTGCTGTGTTTACAAATGTTATTAATGCAAATAAACCTGGACCAGTATTTATCAAACTAAGAATTACACTTCGCATTGTTCCAAAAAGACAATTTGAAAACTTTGCTGGGGGTGAGTAAGAAGACACTTTCATCAGGCAGCGTCCTCCTGTAAAACTAAATTTTAAGATGATCAGATGATTAGCAACAATGAACAAAGCGACAAATACAATCATTTGTCACATTGTTCATTCTTTGTTAAAGACATAGATTTTAAAGTTTTATTTACATTCATGGAAACCAATGGAAACTGGAGCAGGAAAGAAATTGTGTGGCTGTGGTATACATCAGAGAAATCGTATGGATAATTCATTATCCCATTGACAAGTGCACACAATGAATATGCATGGACAGTGACTGCAAACATAATTAAGTCAGCTTAAGTTGTGTTGTTTGCCCTTGATAAGTGCAAAAAATATAAACATGAAAAGAGGTGTAACATTTTATTAATTCCTATTAAATCAAATGCAAGCTAAACTTCAGAGAGCTCTATTAAATGTAAGTATTTTTAAGTTTTCTTATAGAAGTACATATGAAGAACTTTTTACTTTTATACTTCACTTAAGTCTAAAAGGTCAATAAATACAGGCCCAGAAAAAAGCTACTGACTTTGATATAGACAAAGCTGTTTCCTAGGGTTAACCAGTGCATTGAAAAATCTGTCAACCAATTTAGGAAGGACCACAGATTCTAGTTGTATTTTTTGCTTTTTAGGGGGGTTCCCTTACCTTCTGATTATGAATTGTGCCTTTAAGGCTGACTTGACCTGAATACCAGAACACTCTCAAAAACCAAAAAGTGGGATAAGTGCCTCTCCTGTGGGCTAAATTGTATCAAATAAAGCAAGAACGGGAAATCAAAATGAAAGAAGTTATAGTTGTTTTGTTCTGCATCCTATGAGTTTAACCTTTTAGATGTCAGTGCATTTTCCTGTAAAAGTGAGAGTAAATCAGCACTCTACACTGCAGCCTGAATGTGAGTGGGCAGTAATACAGCCATCTGAACACTGGGTAGACATCAAATTGGCTCTCTCTCCCAGATACAGATGCAATGAATTTTATATGGGAGCTCTAAGAACAAAGTGCTCTCAATAACAGTGTACTTCTCTCTGTCTCACACACTCACACACTCTATCATCCACTCACACACACATTTGACACACATTTGCAAGTATACACACACATATGTATGCTCCTGTTATATGCTCCTGTTTGGATATTTCTTGCTTTATGTACAACACACCAAAAAGCGCATACCAAAAGCTGTAAACAATATAATCAAATCTCCACATATGACATCATATGAATAAAAACTGACAAAGATCTGTACACTTTACAATATTCAACCAAATCTGTGCCCATTTCAATGTGAAGTCCCCCTCATTAGATTAAGCAATGTCTTCAGCCTCCTTGGAGACGAAGATAGTTTGAGTTTTGCACTTTTGAGGCACTCCATCAGCTCCACTTCAACAGCTGGCCCAGTATAAGCAATCCCAAAATAAAAAATCCATTCCTACACCATAGCCAGGGCAACCCTGTCAGGTGTCATCGGCCCCGTCTTGACAGAGATCCACAAGTCTTCCGTATTGGCCGAATTCTTTTTCTTCTTCGTCTCCGACCTTGTGGTTGCCATGGCGTCTCTGCAGCAGCAGCAGCAGCAACAGCAGCTGTTGGCATGACGACAGCAGCAGCAGTGGCAGCACACCACCAGGGTAGTGAGGAGAACCAGCAGGGGGAGAGTTAGGAGGACCACCAGACAGGCTGTGTTGTAGACCCCCTGGTTGTGTTTCTCTGTAGCAAAGCTCCAGATTTGGTTGAAAAAATCCTGGATGCTGTCTGTTTTCCCATCCATGGCTTTGGGATAGGGAGCTGTGACTCCTTTCTAATTGAGTTGGTGTAGCAGTTTTAAAGTTTTAATAAATCCTTTAGAGAGTTGTGAAGTTTATGGGGCAGTAAATGTGCGTAGCAGGCTGCTGGAGACACCAAAATAATTAAGATAAGTTTTTAATTTGAGTTGAAAAGATCTTTTATGTAATGTGACTCCACTTTTAAAGTTCTAAGATGTGAAGTTTTACTCTGTGTTCAACAAAACTTCCACCAATCCAACAGCTGTCAGGTCAAATATCTCTGGTGACTTGACACTGAACTTTCATGTGCTTGTCTTCTATTTATGGAGATCTGCATTTAGATAGTCATCCTGAGTACTATCTGATGAGGCTTGTCTAAATGCATAGGCTTGTGCTGTTTACACTGGAAGCTTAATTTGTGGATGCACCAGAGCATTTTTTTAAACAAATCCAAAAGACCAAAAGCTCACTTGTTTATGAGAAGGCTTTCTTTGAAATCTCTCAGTTGTGAAGATTCTGATCTCCAGGGAAAAGCCAAAATCTGCACTTGAGCCAAGTGTGTTTATGCCACTCGACATTCCACTTATTGTCCTCTTGCTCTTTGTCTTCTCGAGCCGTCTCTCGTCCTCTTGCTCTTTGGCTTCCGGTTTAGTTTAATCCAGTTGCAAAGAGGTGGTTCAATTTGGGCGTGTCTGTGGAATATAAAAAAAAAAGAGAAAGTGAATACGGACAGAACTTCAGCTGCCAGCAGACAGATCGTCTTCAAACTCCCCCTTTCCTTTCCCTGCATTCAATCCATCCATCTTTCTCTGTCTTTATCATCTCTATTCCTGCTCTCCCCCTCTTGTCATTGTCAGCTTCAGATTTCTGCAGCTCTTCCCTCATTAATACTGCAGAGGAGTCATCCAGGATTCAGGGCAGATCTCTCTAGGAGTCCCACTGTGGAAGACAGGGGCAAAGAGAGGGAGAGAAAAAAGAGAAAAACGAGGGAGGGAGAAATGGAGGGAGATTGTGTCTGGGGGGGAAGGGGAGACACAGACAGAGGTAACCAATCTTTCTAAGAGTCCCACTGAGATGGAGAGTGTGACAGAGTGTCAGAAAAAAGGGAGCGAAGGGAGAGAGGTAGGCCAGAGAGAGACCTTCTGAAGCAGGTTCATCTGAATATACCCAGTTAATGGTTCCCATTGGACGAGATAAATGGGACCTGGTCTAAGTTTTTATATATGTCTGATTGTAACACCTTCGTCTGGCATCGGATGAAATCCCCTCTTAACAGCTGAAATGGAGAAGAAAACATGGTCTGAGATGCTTTAGTTGTTCAACTAGATCTGCAAAAGAAAAGTCATTGTACTTTTTTTCCTCTAAGAGTATAGATTTTTTGATTAAGTCTGAGGCCTTGAGGCGACATCTTTATTTAAATGGTGTTAAACAACTATAGTTTTTCAAATGATTAAAACACTTTGACTCAAGTATGTCCCTTTGAGTCTCTAAAGCTCACTGCTGCAGAGCTTCTTTATATTCTAGTTGCAGGAGCGAGAAAAAAAATTTCATCTCACATTTGGCTGCTTCTTTTGGCAGAGAGGAGAGAGAAAGATGCACCTGCAAGTGGAGAGCAAATAGATTTGGCATGGCTGTCGCTGTGCGTTGCGTCTCATGTGTGAAATTGGTTTACCCGCAAACAGCCCGCTAACTTCCCCCCTGTTCCGTTCCTGAACAGGAAGCTGAGCGCTTAAAGCTAAGTAGCAACCTGAAACGTCAAAGGAAGAGAGTTCAGAAAGAGCTGTCTCATCTCTAAAAAAAAAAAAAAAAAAAAATACACAACTGAGCTGATCTAAAATACATTACATTTGAAGCTGTGCTTATTTTCATATTCAAGTTAAAAAACATGGGCACAAATGCAGCTGTGCATTTTCAGTGTGGGGCTGCTGGGCTTCATAAGCCTTAAAGGAAAATGTTCTTTTGTTTTCAGGTGAAAGCTGGCCACTTGATCTTTTTAAATCTATATATTATAGGGTTTCCAATCTTGGACAAGGGGTCGCAAGATTAACTTGAGAGGTCACAAGATGATTAAGAAGATGGGAAAGCAGAAAAAAAAAATTTCTGCTACTCAAAATTCTTTCCATTTTTCCTCTTATCTTTGTTTCTTGTGAAACACGTTTTTACCTCTTCAGCTGTCTAAAAAAGTCTAATAAAACAAACAAAAATACATTAGTTTGCCCTGAATCCGTGCTACAATCTTTACATTAGATTGTTTTGACAGTTTGTGTACAGAAACCAAATGTTTTTCCAAAATTTCAGGCATTATGGTTTTTTCTGCACTTTTCAATTCGCAGAGTTGAGTTTTCAAAAAAAAAAAATATATTATTAGTAGTGATATATAATAGTTAAATAGTGTGGTTTCTTCCATCACGATGATGTGATGATGATGAAGGAATCTCTGCAGACACTGGCTCAGTTGTATATAAAAAAGTTTATTACAGGAAAGCACAGCATCTTTTAACAAGCATCAAAACTGCCTGTGAGAGGACCCAAAGCCAAAAAGGATCTTCTCCCATTTTTCCCCAAAACCATACAATTTATAGGCTGAATAACCTCTAGATACATATTCATGACATAGCTGATTCCTAATAATCTATAGAGGCACAGAGCCAACATTTCTGTCCAAACATGGTCATTCTATATGAAGATAAAAGATACCATAAATTCTTTTTTGTAAAACGAAAGTCAGCTTTAGGAATGTTTTGGAGACAGGAACGGAGGGGGGGCTCACCCTCTTCTGGCGCCTGACCTTAAACCTAGCGGCTCCTCTTAAAAACACTCCTATCCTTGACTCACAAATCAGCTAAGACACTACAATAGCACCTGAACGGAGAATAAGCGCCACCAACTGCCGATGCACTAAACCCAGTCACATACAGTAGTGGATGGAAACAGGCATTAATTTGTGTTTTCTTTTGTAGATTTTGTGGAAATTCTGTTAAAATATGCCTTTCATTTGGATGGAAACTTGACTATAGACTACTGAAGACTGCATGTTGTTGTGAGCCACAGTGACACTGCCACATTATTCTTGATTATTTTCTCTTCTGTATGTACATGTTGCCATGATGAGCTTGGCTGAGCTACAGCGCCCTTGTGTACACTCTGAACTCCCTCACATTATGAAAACACTGTCAACACGACGAACCAGAGTTACTGAACAATAACTCTGTTGGAAAGAGACAAAGACCAGGACCAGCACAGAGGTGTGATCTAGCTATATATAATAGATGACTAACAGTGTATCAGTGGTAAAGTCATTGAATGGAATGGATAAGTCACTAAGTGTTACGATAATTATAGTTTCTGGCCAAGAACAATGAAATCACTCTAAGTTATTTGTAAACATGAATAATCTCTGGTTTTCACACTGACCGACAGGAAATGTAAAAAAAGGAACTTAGTTCATTTATTTTATGATCTAATTTTGTCTTATCTATGTGCTTTCACACAAAGGCCAGTCAAAATAGACAGCGTAGGTAGTTTCACAACTAGATGTCCAAATTATTCTTAAGGTAAACGAGTATTATTGCAGCCTCTTTCTCAGCAGGCCATCCGCAGCACTATGAACGTAAATTGCAATGTGCACACTTTTTACTGTTGATGACGCATGTCTGAACTACGGTCAGTTTTTGCTTTAGCCCAGGCACAAGAGAGAAGATGTAAACCATAAAGACAATATAGCCATGTTTTTACAAAAGATGGACTCTTAAAAGAGACTCCAACAGGCTTTAAATATTTCCTTGCTACATATTATCTCACTGAGATGCCTTTCTAAGACTCTCTCACTTTCTCATGACATTGTGCTCTCCTGGAGCCATTCATATACAGGAAAAGGCCAATTCTGGGGCACACAAAGCCAGGAAGGGGCTGAGAAAAATGTTATGATTGCACTCAGTTAGGCCCTGTTGCTTTTTAAGGAACATTTGCGACCTAAAAGACAAAGTTGTGACAGAAGGGAAAGCAGGAATCTTTAATGACTTGCCCCCAGCACATGTTCATGAGCAGATCCCTCATCAAGCAGTGTTAATACACTATTAATACTTGGACATGTTCAGTTTGACATGAGTCAGCTGCCATCAAACAAATTAAATTCTATAGTCGTTTGTTTTCTTCACAGGAAACATGAGTTGTCTTATATCACTAAGTGCAGCTGTTTTTCGCTTGGTGGGGTACGTGCCAGCTGTTAATCTGGAGGAGTGAAGACCTCCACAGTGAGCAAGAGCAAGTGCATGAGCGCAATGAAGTTCAGACTTGCATCAACTCGATCCTGACTCAGTGAAACGAGCAAAGTTCTTACAGTGAAAGCAGGAGGATGTTTCATCTGTTTCTCAGATGAAACTAAAAATCTGTAAAGGTCCATTAAACAGAACAACAGGAAGTTATTCTGTATGCAGCAAATGTAGAGACCATAACAAATGACAATGTTAAACCTTTTCTTTTCATGACGTGAATTTTAAATTACATGGTTTATTTCAAGAAAGTAATATGAAGAGTGAGTTACAGTGACACTCTAACTGGCAGGCAGGAAGAAACTTATCAGCTTAACGTTGCAACTTGTCAAACATCCTGTCAAATCAAACCGCTGCCAAAACAACATTTTTTTTATTTTTTTTTAGAGGGAGTCTGACACTGGCAACAATTTTACCTCAATTTTCCAGGAGTCACACAACAAAAAGCATCAACAGCTTATATAAACCACTCAGAACTATTTCAAAGTATTTAAAGTTACTGGCACGCAGTATCTCTTTGAAAGCGGCACCTTACCCCCACAGGCACTTGTGAAGTGGCAGGTCAGGTCTCCTCTCATGTCTAATCCAGTCAGCTGCTCAGACTTCTGCTGTTTTCTGTTTTGGCATCTGCTCTGTTCTGGTCCCCCTCACCCAGACATCTTGACAAGTCTTCACTTTCTGTTCCTCTTTCTCTCTCTACCCTTGTTACCCGTCCTCCTCCGCCTCCTCCCTCCCTCTCTCTCTCGCTCTTTGAGTCTGTGTTTTGGTCACAACGTCATTGCACCCTGCCCACTTTGTGTAAGAATGGGCCCTCTGTCTGTGCTTCTGTGTTTTCCTGTATGGCACACTGGATTCTTGCGGTTGCTTTACTCACACAAACACTGAGTGATGTCAGACAGAGGAAAAAAAGTAAACTGAAAATGAAGCCTTTACTAAATGTTTCTTGTAACATTTTCCACATGTAAGATATTAAAAACAAGGTTCCTCTCCATGCACTGATCTGAGAGCCTTGCAACACCAGAATAAGTTGCAGGCAAAGTTGCAGCATTTTACATAATAACACTAAATTACAGTTTAAAAGAACACTACTCCACCCTCCTGACAGCACTAAAAATGGTAATAAAAAGGGGAAACGAAAGTTGTGTGTGCGTGTGGTGAGTACCACCTTGTGAAAGAGTCAGATGCTATAGCGAGATATGAAAGAGTGAGGTCATTTGAAGTGGCCCCACACACACACATAAACACTCTTACTATGCCTGTAGCATTGTGTTCAATGCCCTTTCAGTTCAGTCAAGCAAAAGAGGATTTATGCTGAAGTAGGAATAAAGAAACAATCCATTTTGCAGGCATTAAGTGGCAGTCTATGTACTGTCCTCTTCTGAAAGAGGGAAACTCTTTTTTTTGTCTAGAAAATGCCTGAAATTCAAAATAATAAATGAGATATTTCACTTCTGATGCCCTTAAAGTCATTAGTGGCAGTGAAAATATCAAAAAGTTAAACAAGAAAATTGATATGATATGCAACATTGAAATAGGATCAGGCCACCACTGCCATGCTATAATGATTTACTGTGGCTACAGTAGATGGGAACATTTTGTCTTAAAATCATGAAAACACACTCCCTGACCAGCTGACCGGCTGAATGTGCAGTGTGTTTTTTTGTAGCTACGGGGCATGGTTACATAGAAATTGATGAGACAAGCCTTGTCATGTCTGCAGGTGTGTCTGAGCCATCTTAGACAAATAGCAACGAGCCGCCCACACACAAACACACACACACATAGAGAGAGAGAGAGAGAGAGAGAGAGAGAGAGAGAGAGAGAGAGAGAGAGGGAGGGAGCCAAGCACAGAGGGTGCTGTCTGACAGGCAGGGCGTGTAGTGCTACACAGTGAAACTATATCCCAGCTGCTGTTGAGGCACTACAGTGTCCAGTCACCTCAAGCAAGTGTTGATTAATGACCTCAGTGTAGCAGCACTTTTCCTTGATGGAAGTGCTCCTTTGCAAGTAGTTTATATGAAAATCATTTCACTCTATATTCCATTTACTGCTTCTGATTGCTGCTACTGCAGACTTACTTGCATGTAGAAGCCTTCTTGTTATGGATTTGCTCTGTGCACAGATCCAACCATGCAAACCTGCAGGAGTCATGTGAAAATCTTAAATTTGATCTGCTTGTCAGCCATGAGAAGATTCAAGAAATGATCCGATAAAGCTGTTGGATCTCATGCAACAATGTCCCTTTTCAGATCTGCTGCAATTTAAAAAAAAAAAAAAACACCATGCAACTACTGCTCAGTACAAATGGGCAATAGTTGCCAGATACATGGATCATGAAGATTTTTTTTCCTTTTTTTGCCATTTGCTTGATGCACACTTTACTTTGCTATTATTTTATAAGGACCCCATTATACCTTCCCTTCCCTCCAAGGATAACTTATGTTCCATTTATACTGCAGTGACCCTCGTATGTGTCTCATTTCCTCCATGGAAACATTTCTCTGCATTTATACTGCGTTGACCCTGTGCTATAATAGGCGTAGCTCCCATCTGGTTTATAGAAACTCGATTCTCAGTCGACCTCACCTGTGAGGGAAAGCTGAGACAATACATCCCTTTATCCAACTTGAGTCTATGGCTGAACAAATAACAGGAACGACCACTGAGCTCACACTGGATCACTGATCATACAACCATGATAGCAAAATATGTGACTGTGATATTACTAGTAACATTAGTAAAGCCTCATAGAATTACTGGACTGAGCAAAAGGGCATTACAAATCACTGTGACCCACTGGTTCTGCCAGCACACACTGAAATATGTGCGAGTATGAACCCAACACTGTGCACACAGTGAGCTTTTGAATGTGAGTGCTAATGAAAAGTGACTAAAGGGTTGCTGTAGTGGAATCTGACAAGTGTCCAGAAATAGTCTACCAATGAAACCAGTCCCCAGAGGCAAACCTTAGCTGTGATTCAGTCCTGTAAAATGTTTGGGCCCAGCACTGTGAAAACAGGCCTGACAGAGAAGGACATGATTAGTCTATATAAGGAATTGCATCTCTGAAGAAAAGCTATCTTTGAAGAGCTATTGGTTGGCATGTAAACTTTGGGCTTTTACAAGGAGACCTAATTGCACATTCCAGCTATGAGGTTGGCCGGTGCTATTTTAACATTTCATTATGTAATAATCTCAGCATAGTTACCAAATGACATGAGCTGTAGCTATAGCTAAAGATTATGTTACACATTTCTTTTTTGGGCATGTAAAGAAACAGAAATTTGGTCAGTTCTGAATAAATAAACAGAGTGATGTTGTCAGCTTGCAGTAAAGGAAGTGCTTCATTTTAATCAATGGGACTTTCTAAGTTCCTTTTTGCTCCCCAGCATTTCCAAATACAGAAGCAGCAAAATGAATCATTGTGGGAATCAAAACTCAGTAAAGTTTACCAGCATTTTGGGTCATCTTTTGAGTGTTTTGCTTTGTGCCATGGCTGGTTGGCATCAGTGGTACCAGCACGGGATCCTTGCTCTTTGAGAAGCTGTGGGGCGGATAGCGGCTCGTTCCTCTGTGGTGGTGTCCCGTCACCGACCCCGTACAGCACTTTGGGTGTCATTTGGATGGTGTGGGGTATTCACGTGTGGTGTTTAGCGTCAGGACCCTTCCCACTCCATTAATTCCCTCAACCGTGGTAAGCCCCGCAGTCCTGTTCCAGTCGCCTTTTGCTTTCAGTGGCAAATTAAAGCGCCTATAGAGTATTGTGCAATACTGTAGTTGACCTAAGTGAATTGGTTGCAGGGTTAACCAGTTTAACAACTGATTCTTTGTCATTTTAAAACAATCACTGTGAATAAAAAAATATCTATTTTTTGAAATCATGTCTCTTGTGTCCTTTGTGTTATTGTGTGAGTGGATAAACGCCCCATCTAGTAATTCTGGGGGTGAAATTCCCCCAGGTGGCTTTGTTGACACCACTGCTCTGCCACATATACAGATGGAAAGATTTATATTCAAACAAAACATGAATGTGTGTGTCAATCCAATAATTAAAACATTTTGGGAAGTACAGTTATTTGCTTTCTTGTTAAGAGTTAAATTATGAGCTCAATACCTCCACAGTTAATATGAAGCTGGAGCCGGCAGCCAGTTAGCTTAGCTTAGAACAAAAACTGGAAACAGGAGGAAACAGTTAGCCTGGCTCTGTCCAAAGCTAACAAAATCTACCATCACATCAAAAACTAATTAACACGTATTGCATTTAATCAGTAGAAAAACCAAAGTATAAGAATCATGTTTTATGGGAGAATATGTGCCACTGCCTGTTTCTTGGACAAAGCCTGTTACCGGGCAACTCACAAAGACACTTTGGTTTTTATATGGATTCAATGCATGAGGTAACACTGTTTAAGAGGTGCTGGTGGGTTTAGTTAACATTTGGACAGAACCAGGCTAGCTGTTTCCCCCTGTTTTCAGCTTTTATGTTAAGCTAACCATCTGCTGGTTGTAGCTTCTCATTTAACTCTGAGGAAAGGAATGAATGTCAAACAACTCGTTGAAAGCTGATTAATGTTACATAATAGCTGCCGTGTCATTATCTCTTACAGACAGACTTTGACACTTGTTTCCCACAAATAGAAATGTCTGATAGACAGTAACATGACCTTATGTGATCATGGGACAACCAAGAAGTACAAGAATGCACTTCCCTTTTTTTTTTCTATGTTGTCAAGACTTGTCAAATGTCAAGACTTGTATGCATGGTCACAGCCATTTAAGTAAAAATTATAAGGATTGTTCCTACTATTGCAGATTCTTAATTTCTAATTTGTGTCACAGGAACATTTTGACACAGCAAGCCAATTCAATTAGGAATTTTCTGCTGTGAGAAATTCGTTTCAGTATAATAGTAACTGAATATCATGCTTGCATTAATCTCCTCAATGTGTCTCGGTTAATCATTGTCACCTGTTAACGAAACAGATAGGTGGCTAACTTCACTCAGAGCACCTTAAGTGAACATAAATTTACATGAGAGGCTCTAGAAAAGAAAAAAACGTTTTTTTTCCCGTTCAATTCATGAACATTTTCTGTTTGTATTGACCATCATGTGCTTGTGTTTAAACAGCATGGTCTTTTAAAAAATGTTTCCTAACAGGCTTTCTCAATTGAAACCATGTGACACTTTGACTTGCATATGACAGCTGTGGTTATGCACACACATGAGAAACCATGACTTGTGTAACTAAAGTTAAGATGATGAGATAAAGCTTTACTTTTCTCAGGGTTTTTTTTCCCATCAAGCATTCAGACTGACATTCCTGACATACCTTGGAAATTCCTGCTCCTTAACTGTAAAATGTTGACCAAAAACAAAACAAGTCGACAGCCTTGCTCACATGCCATTACATTATGATTTCTATTCAGTTCAATTCAATTCAGACTATGCAGCCATGCATGCGTGTGTGCATTGAATTAAGGCTGAAATCCACTCTCAAATGGCAGATGTGCACACATATACACAAACCCATACTATGTCTTGCCTTCTGCACAAAAAAAAAAAAATGCTGTCCAAAGTCTTGAGTATGTGACTTTGCTTTTGCTGTAGGTGATGTGATAAAGTACAGAACCAACTCTCTGCTGAGCTCGTCCCTCAGGTCACTGTAGCCCTGAGAGGCACTTTCATATGTATGTCAACTCTCATATCTGAAAGGCT